TTTTACTTTTTAATTATAGTGTTCCATTCAAACTTGAGTTTTTGTAAAATTAACTGGTTTTATCATACTTTCGATGTTTTAAAAAAAAAACATCAATGTATCGAGTATATCAATACATCTTCAAAGAATTGGATTTAATATTTTGCATTGTAAACATCGTTGTATATCGAATATCCCTAATAGTTCGAGGTCCGGGTTATATAAGACCAGACATAATGTCGGGATGTGGCAGATAAAAAATCGACTATGATTGATTTTCATAAATATATATTAATAATAGATTATTTTTTCACATCCCTAACTGAAACTCATAAAACTTATGATTCGATAATCGCAAATCATTGTGATATTTTCAATGACATCGGAGTTCGGACACCTAAAACAGACTTCACAAATAATCAAATGCGATACTTTGTATACTACTAGTGAATTCTATGAACTAGAATAAAATACCAGGGAAATATAATATAATTTAAATTTTTTATTTATAATTTTATTTGCTTTGATTATTAACTACGGCTTTGATATAGGATGAAACAGATTAAGTCACAGGCCTCTAGTATACATACAATAATTGAGTAAAAACTACATTGAGCAAAATATAAATAGTTCGGAGCAAAATTCTTTGTTTCATTAAATTTAATGCCAGGAAAGTTATTGGTATGTATAGATATAACGTATAATTAGAGGCTTGCCCGTTAAAATTGCATAGCAAATGTTTATCCCAAAAGGTTTAAAAAAATATGTCGCTATTTGATATTTTGCGGTTTTATCTTTACTGGTTAATACTTAGGCCGTTTCTCCACTGCTCCGGTCCGGCAAACGTTAATTACCGATCCGATTTAGAAATTCACATTACGTACTTCTCCACTACTCCGGCATCCGGTTTTTAACGATCCGATAACTAGCTAGATCGGAACGCGGTGTTTTATCGGTCCAAGTATATCCAAGTATCCAAGAGGTTATAAATTATTATTCACAGGTTTTTTTATTTTTTTATGGCTCTGGCACGGTTTGTGCATTAGCCAGCGTCAAGTATGAGATTTTTATCATTCGTGCTTTTTGCCTTAGAAATTCGATAATGTCCTCCATGTACAGTTTAGGCACTCGCCCGGTACCCCACAACCCTCTCAAAGGCCGAGAACAAATTTAAATTAAATTAAAACTTGCCCTCGAACCGGAATCGAACCCGGTACCCCTCACCTAGCTGCCACTTAATAAGACCGCTAGGCTATGAGGCCCCCCATTCACAGGTTTATTTATAGTTTCTTTAATTTGAAAGAATCTGGATAACCTGGACCAAACCAAATTATGTTGCTATTTATTTATATTTTTATACCATAGTATTAGTGAACTATTCATTAAGTATATAGTGGAGAAGCACAATCCGGCCTTCCGGTATTTTTCTCATGACTCATTCCGGTATCCGACGTCGGACCGGAGCAGTGGAGAAAGGGCCTAACGCGATCAACCGTTGAGCACGGCACTCAACAGCCGTTTATGATGTGGGACCTTTGTAGAGCTAGGGAAAGACTCCCCGTTCATAATTTATCTTTAGGCAAGTATCTCTACCTGACACACTTGACACAATATGTTACTGATTTTTGTCTTTACCGAGCAAGTGTTAATTTCGCACATAGAAACAAAAATCTATTGGTGCAGTCAGGGTTGAAAGTCTAAGAACTAGGAAAAATAAAATATTTAGGGTGTTTATTTTCAAATTAATTCAAAAATTAGAAGAAAAAATAGATTAATTAAAAAAATCGATTATTTATTAATCGATTTGTCATCTCAAAAAAATAATCGATTATTAAAAAAAATCGATGTCACATCCCTAGTTTCAGTTATGTATAATAAATAAAACTGCTAAAATGATTGTATTCGGAATGTTTAATTTCCGCGAAAACGGTTCAAAAACAAATATATTAACTTAATTTCGGGTCTGCTTCTATATATCGAGAACTTCTAAGTATAACAAGTGTGGCTCTTAAATCCAGTGGAAGGAACAAAACAACAAGTATGTTTATAATTATTTAATTTATTAAGTGCAGTACATTAAACATAGGAGACAATTCGACTTTCAAATTCAGCATGAAGTAACTTATTTTCAACATCAGGAATAGTGAGATCCATATTATCACGAGATGAAATGAAATTGGTCACAGATTCCAGTCATTGTATGGGCTCTCTTTGTCTCCGTTAACCACTCAAACTAAAAATGTAATACTGCTGTATTAATCAATGAATTAAATATTATTTGATTAATTATTAATTAATCCAGCATCAGTCGGGCCTCGCTTATACGACTGTTAGGTTATTTATTTAATATTGTATGCTTTTCCTAAACGCCATAACACTTTTGTATAGGGCTATCAAAAAAATTGTGGTGGAATCCAGCCGTATAAGCGAGACCACTTGTCGGCAGTGACGTAGATACCACACGTACATTGACTCGTGCGCATCTTTTTGCCGACACAAACACACTATTAAAAATAAAAGTTAAAACACTCTTGTATTTACAAAACTCCTGCAGTTAAAATATACGATACAATTGTACCGAAGTCCGTCGCGTCCGACATATTTGTAATGTTAACGAAAGTGTGAAAAAATAATGAGTCTACATTTTATGGGACGCGCCGGCATATTCTCTTAAGTCCTATGCAATTTTTTTTTTTTTTTTTACACTTTTTCGCATTTTAATACAAGAAACCTATTATATTATTAGTTAATAACCTTTCGATATCCATCTAGAGCATTCAGCGAACACCATATTTTTCGCAATCTCATTTAGAATTGAGATGTGAGAGAAGCAAAACATTGAGATTGTCAAATTTTATTGGTGTTTAACAGTCGACTGAAACAATCCGAATTTGATATCGCCCGCGAGCACACAAGTATTAATCCACAAGTCAAATGTAGGAGCTGCCCGATATGACAGTTCTTTAAGTAGCCCTTATATTTGACCCTGAAGTAATTCATTAAACAGCTTATAATTTTATTTTACAAGCCCATCTCGTTAGGCATCGCTAAATGAATATTCCTAATTTTTATTTACATTATAATTTATTAATTACAGTATTATAATCGCTCGCGACCGTTACCACGTACTAAAATTCAATAAACACTAGCTAATAAGGATAAAACTAACATTCAAGAATTATCGAACTATCAATTAATTAATAGCCCCCGCCGCACGTTAGTCACACGACATTGTTTTTGCGTTCAGTCCAAAAGCGAGTCGTGCGCTCGTGAGAATAGGGGCCTAACGTTTATACATGTCAATGAATATAAAAATCGATGGACTAATAAGTTTCTAAATAATAAATGTTACAAAAAACATAAGAAATATTCACGGACAGGTTAATCACTGAAGCTAAATACGGGACTGTAATCACTATACTATTTAAATTAAAGGCCTCAATAAAAAATAATAGTGTTCATTGGCGGTTATTCCCGCACAAATCCACTCGTGTTCCTTAGGGCACGATCACCACGCGTTCGTCACTAGAACTAGACGGCCGTTAGCTACAGATTGGCCATTATAGGCACTGACGATTTGGGAATCAAAACCAGTCGATCCAACTGTTATTGCGCATCACTAGTTCAAATATGACTTTCCCGACATCGCGCTATCTTCAGTCGGAGGCTGTTAAATTTTACGGCTTAATTAAATACCAGGGCGTACGTTAGTACGTTATTAGTTACCACGGTGACTAATCTTTTCATAGGAAAACATCATAACCATGGTAACTAATATTTAATCACGAATTACAATAAGGTCGTTAGGGTTTATTTTTGTGACACATCTGGTCATTTGTGTTTGAAATCAGAAGCAGTAATACTGCACTGGTCAAATTTAGCCAAGTGTAGCTAACGGCTCCATACGCAACACTTTAACTCGCACTTCAATATCGTCGCATCGACGCAGCTCTACGCCGGCAGCGTCCACACGGCCACGTCACACCACGTCACAGCTGACACACGTCGCAAGACGCTATCGCGCTCGCTTCCTCGCCGGGCCGCCTGCCGCTGCCGAACGTTGTAGTCTCTTTCACTGAAATGGAAATTAATTTTTTTTTATATAATATTGCAAACACGTAAACTAATTATTAACTTTTCTACAATTAAATATGAATACTTATGATTTCCTATGAAACGCTAATTATTTCGAATTAAGCCTACAATAAGATATTTAATTTATTCTAACATCACATTTAATATGAACAAATTTAATACAGTTTCGTTCAAAAGAAACTGAAATATCACATTATACTATACCATGAATGAAAAATGTGTTGCAATAATTTTAAATAAAAAACGAATTACTCTGATAACTAAACGCGTCTAAACCTAGTAAAAACCTTTATACTATTTGTATGTTTGTACAAACACTACTAAAAATCATAAACAATTACCATTTCAGTTCGAATCATCCTCTGATAATATATTTTTACATAATTGAAATATAAAGATTCATTATAATATTTACTCAATTTATACAAAATTCACAATATTCTAATTATAATAATTGACACATTTCTAAGTTTTAGAAACCACTGTCTCTTTTGTAATTTATTCAATTTTTTCCTATTTTATTCAGACTATCGAAACATTAGTGCAATAATCTATTCATTTTTTTTATAAAAATAAACAAAATTTGACAATTAATTTTTGACAGGACATACTAATGCAGCCTTGAGCATAGTTTTTGATATAAAAAAAAATTCGTTTAATCCCAAATATAGTGAGAATAAAAAAAAACTATGTTTAACTTAATAAATAAATTTAACAGGCACCGCAACACAAACATTGAACTTTATATATTTAAACCTACATCAGTAAATTTTACAGTTGTTTAATAATGCAAAGTAAACGTGTAAAAATTAGATAAGCTGGAAAAAAAAGTCAAGTATTTTTTTATTAATTCAAAGATGAAGGGAACTTATGGAAAATCGCAAGAATTTCGCACTTATAAATTGTACACCAAATATGAAAAAACTTTAAGATATGGCAGTTAGTTTTAACTTCAACTGGCTCCCGGATTGATGGCCCTTTACTTGCTTAGCTTTCGTGTCTTGCACCGACTTTACCTAGAAATCATGTAAGGACTTGTATTGGGTCTGCACTCATCGAGAACAATACGTAAAATCGAAACCTAGCCAAGATCTTCGTCATCATCGTTTGAATAGTATTCGCGTTAATACTTGAATAGCGATGCCAATTTCAATATTACAAAGTATTATTTGTACTATAAAATTCTAAGCGCATGGACATCAAGTAAAAATTGACAATGGCTACCTGCTTTAAACTTCCAATACTAATACGATTCCTACGTTTTTGTGTGAAATTTTTGATTTAGTTCTCTGCATATCCGTAGCATTGCTATGGTAGTATAGCTATTGTGCGTTACAGAGTCCTACCAGCCCTGGGCACTTAGCCAGACATGTTAAAGCTACGTGTACAAATGCGAATGTAAAGGAGCACGTTAGATATTCATATGTATGTGACATTGTTGGGATTGCATATTTGAGTAATAATATTCTGCTGCAGAAACAACTAAACGGAATTTACGTTCTAAGGATGATTATATTTAAATGAATATGAGTGAAGTGAAAATAGTCTTCTTGCATTTATTGCCCACCACTTCTTATTGTTTGGCAGTATACATAGGTTTTAAAGAACTAAAAATTAACAATTTAAAAAAAAAATTTTTTTTTAGAGAATTTACTTCACGCGTATTAATTTACACGGTTATAAGTATACCGACTACGTTAGACAGTTAATTTTCATATAATTAACTGAAATCGTCCTTAGAACGCAAATTTCCTTAGGTGCCCGTTTTCTTGCAAGAGTTTAAAATATTGCAAGCACGTGTAAGTAAGCATATATATGTTTGTCCACAAATTTCTCGAAAACCAAAAGTCAAATTAATGATGATCATTTGATGATGACCAGTCCATGTTACATCAATAGCTTTAGTAGTTTTCTAGATATGGACAGGTATTCATTTCTAGAGGGGACATATAGGTACCTATATAGATAATGTTGCCAGGTGTTTCGAGGTCGGTTTAATTTTTCTAAATGACTTTTATTTTACATCGCTAATGGGCGGCGGCTGTGGATGCGGCGCTGGCTGGCGTCGCTGCACAGAGGGCGAGCGTCGGTCGGGCGCTGCGCCAGCGGCTGCTCCGAGGGTAGCAGACTCGTTGTGCTGCTTGCGCTGGCGCAGGACGGTCCAGTCGAACGTGTAGTCGTACTGGTAGCTCATCGTACGGAACAGGATACGGAATAACTGAAATTCACAATGGAATTTAATTTATTCCTATTACATTATACATTAGACATAATATAAACGATTAATGTTTAATATAAGCAATAGTTTAGAGATTTTTGCCACAAAAATACCCAGTATTTTAATATATAGCAGATCATTTTTATAACTAAAATAAAGACTTTAGGAATTGATTTACTTATTCTTAATATTCTCCTAGAAAACATTCCGGGCAAAACTTACAATTCATTGAAATAATGAACAACCAAATCTAACCTACGAAATATCCAAGACGGAAAATACCAAACAGTAGAAATTATAGAAAACATCGCAAGGAAAAGTCATACCTCAACCTAAGTTAGGATGAATACTTATTTGTCTTAAATATCCACGATCCGAAAGGATGGAACATTAATTTTCTAATGTAGTAGCAACTCACCTGTCTCAAATACATATAATCGGGAGACTCCTCGAAGGTGAGACCGCGGCAGTAGTTCAAGTACATCGCGAACTCCGCTGGGAAGCCCTGCATACATTTATAATTATACACATTTATGAAAACAATTATTATTGCGTAAGTTGTATAATCTCACTCTCAGTAGTTATGCTGAAGCCGCTAAGCCGATGATAGACTCTATATAAACAGGAATCATTTAAAAAAAATGTATGTTACGATATTCAGATTAGTACACATGTATGTTATAATGAAACACAATCATTTAGGTGGATATATAAGTTCCGTATTCTTATTTCTCATTTACTTTATTTATTAAATTTCCTGTCATAAACATAAAATCATTTTTTTAAGAATATTAAAGTTATAATGTACTAAAAGTATTAATTATATGATGTATTGTAGGAAATGCCTGAAATCTTTCACAATTCCAAAATTACTGACTTCAACTAGGTACTTGAAATGTAGCGGTGACGTCATTTAAGGATTTGCATAACCCGTTATGAGTAACCAATATAATATTGGTTACTTATAATTTCATCATATTAGGGTCAAAGTCTGCACTAAAACAATAAATTATGACACGAAATAGTAACTAATTAATAGCTTAGAAGTGACGAGGGCAAAGATTAACATACAGTTAAAATATGTCGTCATGTAAATAACTACATTCTGCTTTGAAAAAAAAACGGTATTTTATTCCTATATTTGTGAGAAAGTTCAATAAAACCTCTATATGATTCAATAGCAAATGAATGAAATATATTGGGAACAAAATCACACTGTACAGCGTGTTCGATTCCCGGAAAAACAATCAATTCTTTGGACTAAGCAAAGAACACCTGCTTGCATTAAAAAAACTAAAAAACACGAGAAAGTGTCTACATGCCAGAGTAAACACGGGACTACAAATATATACTGTACCTTGCAAAGCACCTCGACGGGGGTAGACATCTTCTTCTCACTGATACGTTCGTACTTCTGCTTCTTGGTGATGGCCTTGAGACCTTGCCACGGCAGCGATCCTCTGTAACACAATTAGTTGAATCTTCTTTCTCTAAAGTTATATCTTCAGAATACCATCATCGTATTTGATACATTTTAAAGAAAATTCTACTCAAATACTAAGCGCATAAAGAACACTGGCGTTTCAAGGAAAATAATGTAAAATAATGTAAAGTCTTCTATCATTTCTATAATTGAACGAAATACGTAGTACAAATTAGATGATAGAATCTGAAATAGATTACTTTCCTACATTGACTCTTAAGTATACCTCCTTCAATGCGTAATATTTGGCACTCTCACCAAAATTCCACATGACTAATATAGTAAGTGAAATGTCGATTTTGATTTATAACCTAGAGTTTATTTCTTTTGTAATCGATCGTGTAAGGCAATAAAAAATAAACCAATGGCGCTACAACGTTTTTAGGTCTGGTCCTCAGATTTCTATATCTGTTTCATGATCATTAGTCAATCTAATAGGCAAGTAGGGGATCAGCCTCCTGTGCCGACACACGCCGTCGACTTATTGGGTCTAAGGCAAGCCGGTTTCCTCACGATGTTTTTCTTCACCGTTCCAGCGAATGTTAAATGCGCAAATAGAAAGAAACTCCATTGGTGCACAGTCGCGGATCGAACCCACGACCTCAGGGATGATAGACGCACACTGAAGGCAATACTCAGAATAAAAATCACAAACCTATTAAAGTACATAAGGACGTAGCCAAGCGACTCCATGTCGTCCCGCCGCGACTGCTCAATGCCAAGATGCGCGTTGATTGATGCGTACCGAGCAGTACCTGTACGAAATTATTATTATAATGAGGTAGCACTTCATGTGTGGAAAGAGGGTAGAATCTATATTTTTCACAACACGTTCATCTTAATGATTATAATGTGTGAACTCTTTGGTGTAACGGAACTAGATCTTAGCTTAGAGAATAAAAAAAAAAAGATATAAAAGCAAGCAAACAAGGGACATACAGCTTAATTATTATCAGACCAAGTTATTACCATGGTTACCGGATTGGTATTCTACGGATAAAGAATTACTCATATGGAAATCGTTTCCATGGTAATAAACACCAACACGGTGATAACTTTTATCCACGTTTGTAATATATTTTTTAATACAGTTGCTTAAAAAGTGGCGTATTGCAGGGACGTATAGCGTTCGGGATGTGGGCTATTACACACTCGTGCTTTTTTTTTACCTTTTCCGAACTAGTGCGTTTTCTTACCCAACTGTCAAAATAATGTCTATTAAAAAGAAAAAACCAACCACGAAGTTTTTACTAAAAAAAATTCATAGAAATTTTTATGATTCATGCAAATATTTCTAAAAAGAAGCTACTGCTTTGTTTCAATATAAGATTTAATGATTTGATTCAATGAGTTAGGTTAGATTTCATTTCATCTCCTTAAATTTCATTTCATATCAATAAAAAATTGTACTGAAGACTTGGCTGTATGGGCATAGTTCCCTTTGCCTACCCAGAATGGGTGAAGAAAAAAAAAATATCTGCTTATATTCTGTTACGGTTGGCGCCATTTTCCAAAAATGTTCTTTGCGCGTTTAGATGTTTGTTATATTATATATTAAATATACATGAAAAATCATACGAAATAAATAATAGTTTGTCTCAAACAATAAATAAATATGCAACCTAAAACTTCTCCAGTTAGTATAAAAAATTGTACCAATGTATATGTGAACAATAATTTGTATAAGAAATAAATGATTAGTCAGTTGAGTTTATTGTTTTTTTATTATTTTATTAAATTGCATAATTTTTTCGCAACTGTATTAAAAATAGTTGTTCAGTACACGTGCGGAACCGTCATTGCAACTTGTTCCGACTGTCAACCCTCACCTTCGGCTGCGCCTCGGCTCGGGTAGACATTTGTCGAAACTCTTTGCAATGACAGGCTTTCCGCACTTGTAATGAAATATCCTATTATGGTGTTTGTCTAAATTTTGCCTAAATATAGATTCAATTTTCAAAAAAATTTTCGCGTTTAGAGAATAATCAAAAAAACACGCCACACCATTTACGTGGAGTAGGTACTACTACTAGTTGCTCTTCGATTTTTAGAGTTAGTCAAAATAATAACTAATATCACTGAAATATACATGACAAAAACTTATTTGTTGAGGCTTATCTAAGTTTTGCAAGACCAGTGTAGTGTTCATTAAAAAGGGATTAATATAATAGTTGAATAATAATACATAAAGTGAGATATTGTGAGATCGTCACTTTTTTTGCAAATTCTTGTACTGTATATTTTTTAATATGACCCAGCCTTTATTAGTAGAGCAAGTGAAGTACCGGCTCCATGTCTCCTCTCATACATTCATGATAGGTAATTCATTTATTAGGTACGTACATACAATCACGTTAAACGCCTTTCTAAAGAAAGGATTATAAAAACCCAATTTCACGGTTAGTTCGCTGAAATTTGGGGCCATGTGACTCACCATCGCGAACATTTAAATGTTACGTAACACAAATTAGAAATCTCCTTACGTATTGCTTCACACGAAACCAACCTTGTATTCTCATTGTAATAGTATGATTTTATTTTGTATTTAGTTTCCCGCGACTTCGTAGATTTAGGTTACATGTATCTAAGGCTACGTCCGCACAGGCAGGAGATTTGCTACGCCTAGCGCCTACGAGTCACCAAGCAGTACTTAGTAAAACGAACGTTCTAGAGTCTTCGCGAACGGCCGCATTGCGCGCTTGGCGCCTTCTAGTCGCTTAGCGTGTATCGAAGTAAACAAACGTGTTGGTTTTTGTCGCTAGGCGCGAAGCATTTTCGTGGTGGATGAAATATTAATTTCAATAGTTTTTAAAAGGTAACCTCTGTGGAATCCCTCTAATCAATTCCATAAAAATGCAGTCGTCTAAATACGGGAAGAGGTAGCAATCAAGTAGAAAAATACTGTTATGCTTTTTCGTAGATGAGTATCCAAATGAGTCAATTTTACTTTAACTTTACTGAAAATAGTAGGGGGTAATGTTGTTGGGGGTAATGTTGTTCGCGTCCGTGAGAACTACCTACCACTACCTCACACTGCCCCCTGGGTGGTGCCAAAAGAACAACAACGCCGAGTCTCGGGCGGCGGTCAAATATCCTGACCAAATGGGCCTAATCAGTTCATCCGAGTTGGAAGGAGGAAATGCCTTTTAACACCCGTTACCTTGTGGACTTGTACCACAGGCCGGGGTCCTTGACTTCATTGTCCGGGACCAGAGGAAGAAAGCCTCAATAATAAATCACCCCTAATCTCAAGGTGTGGATCCGCCGAAGGGATGAATGGCTGGGGGCAGCTCACTACTACGCCAACCATGATGGACATGGCAAAATCATGAGTATCGCCTTCAGGTGAGAATGGGCGTCACCTCGCCTGCGACCTTTAGATCGACCCTTCTCGTGGGAAAAATATGAGTGACCAATTAAATAAAATAAACAATAAATCTTCAACTTCTTCAGAAGAACAATCCACTGGTGTGGGAAACCAGGCTCCAGTGTTAGAGAATACCACTGGCCGAAAAGTACTTGTACAACAAGCATTCCATCCTAGCTTATTTCTGCAAAGACCTAGATCTGCATCAATTGGAAGCTGTCCAACACAATCAAGTGTCGAAGAAATGAAACCAACAGATGTACCCCTGGCACCTGCAGATTCACCACATCCTCCACCATGGCGAAAGTGCCAGTAATAGGAATAAAAAACGAAAGTTATCTACCAGCCCTCCTGTAGATACGACCAAAATATCAAATCGCTATGACGGTCTGCCCTTGATTTAACTGATGAAACAGATAAACCAATTAAAGAAAGCAAACCACCTCCAATCATTCTCTATGGATTGAAACCTAAAAAACTAACTAATCTCTTAGAAACAGCAGTCAACAAAGATCAATTTAATACAAGATTATAAATAAAACTAACTTAGGATTAGTACTGCAGATATTGATGCATACAAAATACTTATCTCCGGTTAGGGAAAAAGGCTGATAGGGCACACTTTCAACAGAAAGGAAATAGATGTTTCCGGATTGTAATAAAAAACCTCATCCGACGACACCAGTAGATATTATTAAAAGAAGACATAGAGGCAACAGGAACATATACTGGAGAGATAATAAATGCAAGGTAGGGCCAAACAAAATCCAACATCTACATTCTTTAATCAGTTAGTGGTCCCCAAAAGCTATTAAAGACCTAAAATATATCTACCACCAAAGCGTCACCATAGAAGAACCAAAAAAAGAAAACACTAGTTCAATGCCAGAGATGCCAACAGTATGGTCATACCAAGAACTATTGTATGAGACCATACGGTGTGTGAAATGTGGGCAATCACACAACATCAGAATGTCAAAAACGAGACCGGAGCACTCCAGCACTCTGTGCCTTGTGTAATGGACCACACCCAGCTAATTACAAGGGATGTGAGGTCTATAAAGAAATTCAAGCAAGAAAACAAAAAAATCCAATCAATATTCCTATACCAACTACTAAAACAGCATCTAAAACACCTAAAAAGACTGAACTGAATACTAGTACAGAACCCAAGAGACAGGAAAAGAGTTTAAGTTATGCTAAAGCCGTAGAACCAGACCAAATAAACAACACATTCCAGAACAATTATGATAATACTCACATCCCAGGACAAATAAACGCGACCCTAGAACAAATTATTATAAAACAGACAGAAAAGTTTGACATCATCCTACAACAAATGAGCACCCTAATGTGCCTCATAACCAAACTCGTCGACAAACTGACAAAATGACTACACTACGGATTGCGACCTGGAACATCAATGGTCTTGCCACCAACAACCATGAAGTTAACCTGTTCATGTCCCAACATAAGTTAGACTTCTCCTTATTTCCGAGGCTCACTGTAAGGCTAATTCTATAGTAAGATTTCAAGACTACCACTGCTACATTACAAACCACCCTGACGGTACCAGTCACGCGGGATCAGCCATTATTGTAAAAAAGTCAGTCAATTAAACATCATCAATGCCTAATTATGAAACGGAGCCTATCCAAGCAACCACTATAACTGTTCATGACAAAACAGGAGATCAATGTGACAGCAGTTACTGCCCACTAAGCACAACATGACGGAGTCAATGTACTCCGATTTCTTTAAGACTCTGGGACACCGCATATTGTAGGTGGAGATTGGAATGCCAAACTACTTCCTGGGGCTCAAGATTGACGAATACTAGAGGCAAACAGCTAAAACTGAGCATAACTAAAAACAACTCAAGCACCGTATCCACAGGTGAACCCACTAATGGCCTACTGATGCCAAGAAGGTGCCTGATCTCATAGACTTCTTTTACTAAAGGATTAACGAAGTTATACATGAAACCTGAGTCTTGTTATGACAGCTCTACAGATCACACTCCGGTGCTCCTGACCATTAGTACTACTAATAGAGGTAACAAGATCAATAAGGTTATGTAATAAACACAGACTGGAACACATTCCGTGAGCACATTGAGGAATCAATAAATATGAAAATGGCCCTTAAAACACCCGAAGATGTAGATGAAGCAGCTAAATACTAAGCTGTTAATACAGGAACATGCTGGATAATACTCCTAAATTCAGACCCCCAACAATAGTGGAGTAAAAACTATCCCTAGAATAAAAAAGGCTGTCCTAGAAGAGACGACGTCGAAGAATTTGGCATAAGTAGGCTTACTGTAGACAAAACCAACTTTAACAGAGCTGCAGAAGATCTCAAGTCACTATTGCAAATTGGCTGATAACTCATTCCAGCAAAGCTAGAAAGCCTAACTGCTAAGAGTCTACAAACTACTCGCTCTGGAAAATAACCAAAAGTTTCGACAGACCACAACTGCTAAACACCTTAAAGTGTGCTGAAGGATGGGTGAGAAAACAGCAAAAAGCAGACCTATTTGCTAAACACCTGTCAAAAGTATTCTGCCCAAATGATTCCGTAGACGATAAGTTTGATGATCAAGTGGACAAACCTAAACCAAGACCTTCAAATGAATCTACCACCAAAACCTGTGTCAGTACGGGAAGTTTGGAGAGTTATAAGGGAACTAAAGGATAGAAAAGCCGGGCTTCGACCTTATAACCAAAGAAATAATTACACAACTGCCCCGAAACCGTAACGTACATTACCACACTATGTAATGGGATATTAAGAGTCCAACATTTCCCAGATATATGGAAAGTATCTCAAATAATAATGATATATAAAGACGGAAAACCACCAAACGAAGTCACATCTTATAGACCTATAAGTTTGCTTCCGATACTATCAAAAGTTTTCGAAAAACTACTTCTTCGACGTATTCTTCCGATCTTATCTGAAAAAGGCACCTACCCAGCCATCAGTTCGGCTTCAGACAGCAACACTCTACGGTGGAACAGGTTCATAGAGTCTGCGACAAGATAAGAAAACACTGGAAGAAAAATACTTGCTGCTGTGTTCCTGGATATAAACAGGCCTTTGATAGAGTCTGGCACAAGGGCCTGCTTGTAAAATAAAAAGTTATCTTCCACACTGTACTTTGATTTTTCTATTCTCGGGAAGATTATTCCAGGTCAAAGAAGGAGAAAAATAGATTTCTTTGAAATAAAACTGGCGTACCACAGGGGTCAGTGTTGGGTCCGGTACTCTACCTATATTCACAGCTGACCTGCCTTGTTCAAGTACCATAACTACAGCCACGTTCGCAGACGATACCGCTATCCTGGCAAGTCACAAGGACCCAGTAATAGCCTCAAAAATCCTACAGAAAGGCCTAGATGATACAACTAAATGCTTCAAAACTGGCGGATCAAAACTAGTACTCGAAATCGGTACAGGTTACCTACACCCTATGCAAAGGCAATTGCCCCTCAGTGAGGTAGGAAATACCACCCTTCCTCACCGGAATTGTGTCAGATACCTTGGTCTTCATCTTGATAGGCGTATGACATGGAATGATCACATCAAAAAGAAGCGAGATGAACTGAATATTAGATATAAAAGCTACCTGTGGTTGCTAGGCCGAAACAGCAAACTGTCTGTAGACATAAACTACTAGTGTACAAGTCGATCCTGAAACCTGTATGGATGTACGGCCTTCAACTATGGGGTAGTGCTTGTAACTCCTCCATCATGCGCATACAAAGAATGCAGAACATTATTCTCCGGACCATCAGTATGTCCCCTGGTATGTGACTAATGCTGAGATCCACGAACACCTGGGAATGCTCACAGTGAGAGAAGAAATAACAAATATCAAGACCAATACAGGGAACGGCACACCCACCCCAATGCCCTTGACGACAGCTCACGATGCAGAGCTATGTTAAACGCCTTAAGCGAAAAAAACATTCTATAATGTGAAGAATTATGAGTAGATGTTCTCACTGGAGGACACACTTCGAACGAGATAACCATCCAACATATTTGCTAAAAGTGAAAGCACTGATTCAGATGGCGAATATAAAAAAAAAAAAAAAAAAAAACTTTACTGAAAAGTAGATCAAATGTTTCTCTGGGCATACGCAAATATTCGTAAAACTTTTCGTCATAATTACGCAATTGTTTATACAGAACATTAAACTCCCCATGACTTGACCGTAAGTTATTTATGTCTTGGAAACATGGTAGAGAAGGTCGTGAAGTTGTATATTTTAAAGAATATTTTTCTGTAAGTAGCAGTTTCAGAGCTATTTTTGAAAGTGACATGTCGCTAACGTGCCGACAAACAAATACCCCACCTAGCGAGCCACTACGCAAGACACCTTTAGTCCGGCCACCGTAGTCACCTAGCAATAGCCAGGCGGCAAGCCTCTAGGCGCTAACAAACCTCCTGCCTATGCGGACGTAGCCTAAGTCGGGTCCAAAACATGAAGAATATTTTGATGCATTACTTGGCAACTCTGTCATGTTCCAATATCACTCAAAAAATCTAAATACTTGATAAGATTATTTATTCGTAATTAATCTTATTTTTATTTAGAGACAAAGTTCTTTCAGTTAATAATAAAAAAAATTGTGATAACTATCAAAAAACTACTAAAGCTATACATCTTCGGATAAACGGGAAAGATTCTTCTGTTGTAAGTGAAACCGCCGCTCACGCCCACTTACAATCCTACTGGCGTTGCCTACATTTTAAGAATTAGTACGCTTGCTTTTCTTAAAGGAACTAAATCGTATTGGTTTATAAATACTTCATTGGTCAGCTGGTTCCACATTGGTCAATGTCATTGAGGCAAGTAGGTGATCAGCCGTACATGTGTTAATTATTTTCCGTCTAGAATTTACCTAGTATCTTATCCCTAAACAATGAACAAATCACAAGATCCAGGAAAATATAAAGATACATAGAAACGCTACGTGTCTGGCATTCAAGCTTGTGAACCAACTCAATGTAGACAACAATTTCGGCCGTGGATGTACCATCTTTTGAACAACAACAAATTTGATTTTGGAATAAATTTATAAAATAAATGTTACCACAGCGTTACGTGTAGACAATAATATTTATTTTGACTTAAATATAAAACCATTTAATGATAGTGAATCAATAATAAATTATTAAACGATAGCACAGATAAGGGGGGGTTGAGAATGTAAAACTATTTTGCGCTCCGTTCGAAAGTGTCAACAATATCTGCTGTAGTTTACGTCCGTTTGACTAATCACAGTTCTTGCGTATTTTGTACACTCATACCCTATAAGGACAGCCATTTACAAAATCAATGAAGGTGAAGTCATTTCCGTGTATGCTGTTATAGCTCATATTATTTATAATAACATAATAACAATAGCAGCTACATCAAATTATTATTTTAAAAATGAAATTAAACTTACCGGTGAGGTTCTTATCCTCGCGATATGAAATGTGAGAGCGTGTGCGCAGATCTCGGTACTTCTTGGCAAGACCGAAGTCGATCATATAGAGCTTGTTGCAGTGCCGTCCGATACCCATAAGAAAGTTATCCGGCTTTATGTCGCGGTGAATAAAACACTTGCAGTGGATGAACTCCACACGACCCAGCATTTGATCTGTTGATCAAGTTGTAGACATGATTTAATTGTAACATGGTGAGAAGCTCCAGTTATAAGGGAGGGCCACCGGGGCTACAGCCTCGGGGTCTATACCAGAGACAATAGACTTTGAAAAAAAATCTGTATAGTAAACGCTAAACAAGTTTTCCTTTGATATGTTTTTTCGCGTTTTACGTTGTACAAACATGATTAGGTATATTATATATTAACATCGAGATATATTTGTTCACTTCAAACATACAGTAAAATATCAAAATCTCAAATGGCCCTGATAAGCACTTGCATTTTAGTAAAATGTCTAGCATGAGGGAGTATCCCAATGGCTCAATAGCTGAGTGAAGTGGTCTCACCAGCAGCGTCGCAGGTTGGGTATTCGATTCTGTGTCACAATTCTTTATTTTTGTTCTTTCAATTATATACATGTAATTAACATTAGCATAAAATGGTTTTCTATTAAGCCTGGTTCAAAGTAACGCCTGGTTCTATTAATTACCAAACATATTTGATCAACAAATAAAGAGTAATTGACTTTTATCACAATAATTTGGAGCCAGGGGCCTTCACTACTTTGTCTTGAGGCCTCCAGACCGCTAAATTCAGCAGTGAGGTCAAACGTAACTATCAATTTATACAAAAGATTTTTCACTCGCTGTTTGAATGTTTTGCAGAAGCTGTGTCTGTCAGAGAGTTTTTACTTCTGTAGTATTCGCTAATGACTAAGTGCATACTTTGTTGGAATAACATTAAGATAACACCTCCTCCTTATGGTACTACAGAATGACACATTTCAAACTATCAGGCGGTAGAGTAACTATAACTTAAATTTTCATTTATTAAAAAAATACTTTGATGTTCCCGTAAAAACGTTTAGAAAAATGTAAATGTTTTATAAATAAGAAAATGTCCGTCCCTACTGAAAAATAATAGCAGTTTACGATAATAATTGTTGAGAGTTTTAAGAAGTATGATTTAGTTACATAATAAAAAACCACCGTTAACGAATTTGAAAGGTGATTTGGTCGAGTATCGAGACATGACTTGCATAAAGTAACTACAGGCCCACCAACACTTTAGAGAACTATAAGTGAGTTTGTAAAAGACTACTACTATCTAAATATCAATAGAAGACAGATAATAAAATAACGGGACGAAATTAATCAATAAACATATTTTGATATGAATATAGTTTATTATTATGAAACCCAATACAAATAAGGGAGTTACCCCTACTACTTTATAATCCGAAATAGACATCGTCAATTTCTAAGGTCTGTTACGCTGACATAAATCAAATTGTATGTCGCAAGTTCCCACGTAAAAACACCTGCACAAAATGCAATGTCACCGGAAACCGCTGAGGACACGCTCATGTAACAGTTTTTAGGAATCGTGCTTCTTATAAAGGTCGGGGTTACTTTTTTCGACATTTCCTTACTAATTTTAATTTAAAAATTAAATTTGGTGCAAAAACAAAGTAAACTTTTAATGAGTTAGTGAATACCTACGGTCTTATCTAACTCAATCTTAAGAAAATTCTACTATACTAACATAAAGCTGAAGAATTTGTTTGGTAAATACGCTTATCTCAGGAACTACTGATTCTAGTTAATAAAATTCTATTTGGGTTGGATAGTCCATTTGGCGAAGTAGGCTTTAGGAATTTACACTGGTAAAACTGCATGGCTAAGGTAGAAGTCAATATGTTAAGACAGCCCTGTGGCTATATAATATACTGTTATTAGCCAGATCGTCAGGGCAAAAGATTTGAAGACTTAAAATAGGCGATTGATTCATTGAATATTAAACAAAAATATGCATTAACAGCAAATGACTTCCAAAATACACCTAAGTCATATAAACTTGTGACTATTCATAACAATTTTCTAGCAATCCTTGCCAACAATAAACCAAATTAATAAATTTCTCAAGTCTTTGAACTGAAGGCCCAAGTTGTATCTGACCTTACCACTGACCGTGAATTCAATACTTTGCAATTACTAGTCAATAAAAAAAATAAGATTATTGTTTAAAAAAAAATATATATTATATTTTTATATAAACATATTTGTTGTAAAATTTTGAAATTGTTTGTGTTTTGATGCAAAACCAATGATTTTTAAATATACAATAAAAAAAATATTATTATGAAAAAGACTTTACATTACAGGACCAAATCAATAGTTATTAAGTAGATTTGTGTGTAAAGTGGTCTTGTAAAATGCAGTCAAAATAGGATAGTTACATTTTGACAAATGTATGGAAAATAAAACCTACCTGCTAACATGAGGACAGTCTTGATAGTAAACTGCCGTGAGCAGAAGTTAAATAGGTCCTCAAGTGAGGGACCCAGTAAGTCCATCACTAGAATGTTGTGGTCCCGCTCGAATCCAAACCATCTGTAAGACAATTCTCATAAGTAAAAGAGTTAAGTTTACTGGCTTTGTTAATAATTAACAATGAGAACTGCCAGGACCTGAGATGAACTTACCAACTGGAAACCAGTAGACTATAGGCCAATCTTGCAGATAAGAGTTACAAAAGAACATTTAGATATTTGTGAGTAAAAGATTTAAAAAAACAAAGCATAATAAAAATGTCACCTTATATGTGGTATTCCAACACCGCCTTGGAGCATCTTATACACTCTACTCTCATATAACAGCTGTGGGTGCCGAGCCTTTATGCTCTCCACCTTCACTGCTACCTCCTACAAAAAGAACATTTTTTTAAATAAATTTACCTTTATAACTAAGAGTAATAAAACAGTAGAATTGACACTTATACTCAATAACCAAGTATTTCTAATAATAATCTTATATAAATTGATGTGTCATTAAATAATTCCCTGCTAGCTCTAATCACTTTTATAACATGGCTTACCAAATAAAAAAGGACTGACATTAGGAAAGTACCATAATTTTAATCAGTTACACAATACCACATATTGGTACACCACTCTCGGTTTAATATCATTATTAGGGTTTCTGTACATAGATTATTTCAAACTCTTTGGTTGAATAGCAATAATTTTCATAATATGCAATAAATAATACCAAGTACATCTTGGTAGCAAATTAGACTAAATATATAAGTAGCTATAAACATGTTATGTGTGTGCAAGTATAAATGAGGATTTTATTATGATTTTAAATATCTTAAAAGATCTTCTCTTTATGAAGGCTAAAACACTGCATAAGCAAATTTTTAATGCATCAAATTCCAGAAGCTACAAGTTATAACTCAAAGCATTTTTAATTTAGAATTTCATCACAGCTGATAATGAAATTTTTGTATATTGAAACTCTTAAATGGTCAGCAATTACTTTTTTAACAAAATCAAACTTAAGAAACTATCAACTACATATGGACAATATGCAATTAATTACACAAGAATCAAGTCCTTGAATATGTTCTGCCATGTATGAATGAATGCAAATATGAGACATTAAAAATAATATTTGTTTACAATATTTTAAATTAAATAAATACATTATTTACTAAAAAATAGTATATTTATAATGTAAGTTAAAATATATGAAGAATAGATTTCATTTATATATGTGAAACAAAAAAAATGATAACTGAGTTTTGTTTCCTAGCAGCTGCTAAGTTGTTACTAATTTAAATATGACCTAAATTATAGTAAACTTGTATTTTGAAACTGAAAATAAAAACAATATGCTACTGCTAAGAACTACTTGCTACGTAATTTAAACCAGTTTGATTTTCTGTAATAAGCAGTTATTGGATATTCTGTATGACCTACTAAATAATATGGCTACTATTTTTTACAATCAATAAAGGGACAAACAAATATAAATATTTAATGAACAAGAAAATCCGACGCGCCATTAGCAAATGGGCTTTATCTGCTCTGATTTCTATGCACACAAATAGACAAATGGTTAACATCTGTAGTGATATTTCTTCTCATGTTACGACAAAGACAATCAATCGACGATCAAAGTGGAAAAAGCCATCTAAAGACACCAATTACGACAATGATTCACTTTATCGATAGGTCGAATGATAATATCATTCTATACAAACTAATAAAACCTATAACAGGAGAAATCATCGCGTACAACAGGATTTAAAATGAAGGTGTCGTAATGTAGACTTAACAATGGCATATAGGGTCAGTGTATAAGAAATTACCTCTCCGTCTGAAATGCATATCGCCAAGAAGATATCCCCAAAGCTCCCGCCGCCAATTTTGCGGACGAGGTTGAATTTATCAGCTATTACTAAATGTTTTCTGGTTATCAACATGCGTTCGAACATCGCCATTTTCTCCTGCCTTCATCACTCGCTGTCACGAACTTATAATAAATTTCTTCGCACTAACACGAAATATCACAAATACACGTTTCAATTTTGTCTTTAGTCTTGATTAAAACACAAATCACTTTAAATAAGCTACGCTATTCCTATAAAATTCATTTTGAGGCGATTAGTAAAAAGGTGTCGTCAGCTTATTTTACGTGACGTCACAATGGCAGTGATGCCACATTTAAAAATCGACCATAAAGAAAATCATTTCTACCAATTCTACAGACCGCTACCAAATATTTCCTACTAACTCTTTTGACGACGCACGTGAAAGTTTTAAAGAGTTTGCGTTTTCACAAAAAAGTTTAAATGTTAAATCATTTAATAAATAAATGAAAAACATGACGTTTTCGTGTAGTATTTTTTTTAAATCACAACCTTATAGAAAACTTGAAGTAAAATGTGCGAATGATTTTCATATTCACAACCTACAATAGTAGTACATAAAACTGGCAACACTGCTATTATTTTAACCGTGCCAACACAGATGGCGGTATTTACAAATATGCTAAGGGTGTAGTTTTAACTGATTAGCCATATTATTTAATACATTATAATTAAATGATTGATATATTTAATAAATAATTTTTTCAAATTTCAATCTTCTTAAGTTAAAAAATAAAGTGATATAATAAAGGAGTATGACATAGTATATTTATATTATTATATATTATAAAAATAATAATGAGTTAATAATGAGTTATAACCATGTAAATATAGTTCAAGATATCTAATACTTATCAGTTTATATGTTGCTTCTGTATAGCATTTTTGTACCCTGTAATAGTTCTGAATAGTAATGATTGGCCATATCATGAAATGGCCAGACATTCATTGAAATATTTTTAAATATTCAATAAATCTTTTAAAAAAATGGTTGACATTCCATGAAATGGTCAATTCTAAGTTCTTGCAACACATATACATACACTAAACTAGGTCCCCATATAACAATACCCCCATATATCTTAAGCCCCTGGGACATACTCATTCTCATTATCTATTTGATTCATAAGAGGGAAAGTAAACAACTTCATATTTTTATTCAAATATAAAAAATAAAAATAATGTGACATTTAACTTAAATTGCTAACAGTTTTTTGATAATCATAACAATAAATATGTTTATTTTATTTAAATGAAACAAAATGATTTACTATTTTTTGCTTTAGTAATTGCAGAATAGTAGAAAACATAGAAATTGAATTCTCTACAAAAATTTATGCTCTCTTTTAATAGAAGCATTAATAACTTTTAATTGTGCCTGCTGATAAGTTTTGGTATAAACCAAAACTTTACTTAGTACACTTAATACATTTAATTTAATATGGTGATGATATCATTTAGAGAAAACTATTTTGTAAGATGTAAATTATATCTTATCTTTGATTACTCATGAGTAAGGTGATTTAATTTAAATACCAATAATTAGGAATGATGTTATCTAAATTTACAAGATACTTAAGAAATACACAAAATATATGTATTTTGAACCATGCACATCATTTTGCAATTCTTCAGGTAGGCATAAAAAGACCTCAAATGAGATATCTCTCATACATAAATAAAGTTATAAGCAATAAGTGCTCTCGAGATTAAACGCATAAGACAAACATTGCAAAATTTATCACTCACCTCGCCATTTCCAATGTTTATTCCCAAATAGATATCACCAAAAGAACCACCACCTATTCTTCTATTTATCCTATATTTTCCCGCAACAAGACAGTCTGCATGTGCATATAATCGCATAAACGACATTTTTATTATCTTTAATTAAAATTAAAAAAAAAAAGTAGTGGCTGGGATCACTATTAAAGTTAATTTTGACGCGATAACATTTCTTGCTAAAAAATTAGATTTATATAGTATTAAAAACCAATATATTGAAAATATGGAAAAATAAAATATGACAGATTGTACAAATTCCTTTCAACTAATCAAATTGTTATTTACTAAAATACTATCAATTGTCAGCTGTCAAGTGACAGAAATAAAAATGTTGCTGACAAAAAAAATCTGCATAGACTCATAGAATAATAATTCCGAAAATAAGATAACGATATATGAAAAGTTTAAGAATGAAAACATAAAGCATTATTTAGGAGCGATACAATTGTGGAAAATCCCCAGTGTCTCACTACCGCCAAACGAATTTATTGTTTATCAGGTGCCCAAATGTTATAACGCCTATTGCAAAATGTTGTCTCTAGTAAATAGGGTCTTACCTCTATCAGTTGTTCCTGATATAGTAGAGTGTTACTTGTCCTACTAGTGCCGATATATTTAGGTTCTATACAAATTCTTGTTAACCTAAAGGGTTAAATATTATTTTTGTTTAGAAATTTCAAATACACAATTCATGTCATTGTTCCTTCCAATATACAAAGGTAAAGTATAAATACAACAGTTAAAATTTTACTGCTACACTTTTACTGAGTTGCAGAAATTTTAAATAAATATATATAAGAGAGTAAAACACTTATTTTAATGGTATATTTATTTAATTAACGACTGCTTCTTACTTTCTATTTAACAGATATTTCGTTTTGATTTACCTAATTTAGGCCTATAAACCGAGCTAAAAACATTTAAAAACTTACTGAATAATAAAATAATATAAAAAACAAATGCCAAAAAAATGGAATTTGATTGTAAAAAAATTCGTAGATTGCACTTATTTTTACAAAGAAAGGTTTAACAATAAATACAAAATATTCTAAGAAATACAACAAAAACTTTAGGCCTATTTATGATCATTCCAATCTACGTGCTTGTAACATCTAACAAGAAAGAAAAAAAAGCACAAAATTATTTTTTGTAGATATTCTTTTGACGATTTCTTAATTTATTTCATCGAAAACTATTGTGTAATAATAGTAAATGTAAGACTTTCGGTGATAGGATACATTTTCAAGTGTCTTTTGTGGTGAAAAGGATTTATTAGAGCAAGCTTTTCTCATAATATTCAACAGCCAATTGTCCATCAACTGTCACTTAACCGTAACAGGTTTTTGATATGTATCAAACATAGTAAATAAACAGAAAAGCGCCAATGTTCCAAGCTATTCATGAAACTTACAGATACTACAATAAACTAAACATACCAGGCAACCACAATTTAGCTTTAATATATGCTATTCTCTATATATATTGTATAGATAGTCGTTATTGTATTTCTTCAGTTAATATATTCGTCACTTTATAGGCTTTTTAGGGCGCAGGCATACACTTTAGTCGTTCGAAGGCTGCCTTTTCGAGAGACTCGCGATGGTCTGGATGAGCGATTTTGATCAGTTCATATGCTCGCTGACGCAATGTTTTACCGAATAAGTATGCGATACCTTGTTCAGTTACCACGTAGTGGACGTGCGCACGTGTCGATACTACTCCCGCACCTGTGGGAATTAAACTTTATATCACTATACATTCCATTTTTATTTAATATTTATACTATACATTAAATGCAACTAAAGTCGTCAACAATTACAAAATTGTTTACACTATAATATACAAAGTATAGAATATATTTTCTGTCCATGTTACTTTACCATACAAAAACAATACTGTGGGAAATTAGATTTGCGTTAAAGTCTAAACAAATATTTTTTTAAACGAACCAGATTTTAAAAAAAAGTTATAATATGTATTTACTACATCTCTATCACTCATATTATACATATGTAATAATAGCCTTATTAAATCAAAATAAATTTATTAATTTTAGTTTTAGTTCAACATGAGTAATGTTGTTTGTGAAATAAATTCTAAATTCTAACAAATTCTACGGTCTTCGTCATTTTTAGCCACTTACCTTGTTTAAGCGTAGGCACAATTTTGCTCTCGCCACGCTTTGTAGCGGAGACAATAGCGATGATGGGCTTACCACGCCCGTCTACAGATTCCGCCGCCCCGCGGATAAAGTCCACTTGACCTCCGAAGCCCGAGTACATCCTTGTACCTAAAGGGCATATTAGACATTTAGAACAATAGAAAAAGTTGTAACAAGGGAATTTCGTATTAATTTCAAACATTAAATTTGGATATATCTTATTAAAAAAACATTTTACGGTAATAATGAGTTGTGAATTTAACTGCCGGTAGATTTCTTTCTTAGTGCTTAATTAAAGACTCGTATGGTAAAAGTAAACTTCGTGAGAAAATCTACTACACGTCAGGCAGTAAAGACTTCAACTTGTCTATACAAAATATGTCTATAAAAGATATTCAAAATTATTTATTCATATGGGTAACACAATGTACACTTATGAACGTCACAAATAAATATATATAATATGAAATGCTTATAATTTTACATTTACTGCCAGTTCTCACTCTCCGCCACTCTTTTTAATCTACATATTTTTTGTTTTACACAACGTTTGTAAAGAGCTGCAACCATTACACCATGTTCCACATGACATCTTAAATAATTAATAATAATAAAATAAATTAAAAACAAAGATTTGTCCTCTATCAGCAGGAGACATGGTGAAATAGGAGCACGCACTTACATTGGTGGGAACAACACACACTAATTCCTCAATCCTGTTATATATATATATATATTTTAAATATTACTTACCGATGGAGTCGGCACAAACTTGCCCAGTGATATCGACCTCAATGCATGAGTTAATAGCAGTCATATTAGGCTGAAGCGACACGATATGCGTGTTGTTAACGTAATCAATCTCCAACATTTCTGGAAAAACATTTAAATGTTAAGCTTTTTGCAAATATTTTTTTATGATTTCAAAATATTCTATGAAGGTTTTATCGCTTGATCGGGGATATAAATACATTAAGATAAAGCTATTTAAGTAAGAATCGTAGTAATCGTCTTCTTTTTATTTAATCGACTAAGACCGATGTTTGTTTATGATCTTTATTTTTCTCCTGAAAACTTTCCTACACACACTTGCACACTAAACCCTGCTTCAAGTATAGCAATACTAGATAACTCATAATGCAGGTTGAGGGTTGGTTTTCGAAGAAAAATCACAGTTTTGCTAATCTCTATTTTTTAAGCATATTTATTTATATTATATTTTCTCAGTAATTAAATATTTTAATACGCCCGGTTTCTATATTATTAATTCCATGAAAAAAATTCTAGAATTTTTTATGGTGAGCGCATTTGACATTTCTCTTCTATAGAGAAATCTACATGACTGGTTATAAAAACAGGACGTTCTTCAAGTTATTTTCTATTATTTATAATTATTCTATAAGAAAGGATAGTTATTTGTATGAATACTATACAAATATCATAAAGTTTTTTCTGTGTTTGTGATGAATAAACTTTAAACCTACTGCATGAATTTAGGATATTCTTTCACCGCTAAATTAAAAAATTTTGTAACACGGGCTTTATAAAATAAATCTATTTTAATTTTTTTTTTAAATAAATACAGCCGTGTCGAGACAGTGACATAAATAACTCACCAATAAACGGATTGTTGTCAACAAAACTGTAAAGTTCCTGGTTACCGACCAAGAACGAACCGACGATGCGACCCTTGTGGACCTTTTTTCTGAAAATATGAAAAAGTTTTTTTTACATAAATACAGTGTTTTTAATTTCACCTCGAGGCACTCTAAGTAAAGTAGATTGCGATTATTGTAACGGTATTTTGAGATTCACACCGAAGTCAAACTGGATATAATTGGGAAAAATAAAATGGTTATGGCATCCCTAACAAAATAGGGTTAAAATTTTTATTATTATTTTTAAATTTAGAGTGGAACCAATGCCATTTAATAGTATTTTTTTTATTTCAAAAATTGGTGTGATATAAAACCGATGTTATTTATTTGCCTACAACTATTTTAAGGACAAAAATGTCACCTGTATAATACGAATTGTCGTTCATTACCAAAGTGGGTAGAGGGTATTAACTTCAGTTTGTATATACAGGTAATACATAGGAACGATTATTATGTATTAGGGGCCGTTCAAGTATTACTTAAGCACTATTGTTTCTTTGATTTTCTTATTTACTTGCTACGTCGACAGTAATTATATACTTTTTTACACACACATATTACCCACACATTGTTTATGCTCAAAAACAAAATACATTTTCGAGGATTCCTACAAAAAAAAATACGTTTATGTACTATTATTTTTGAGAACTTTGCTGATAAAAGGAAGGGAGGAGATAAATTGCAGTAAATCTGCTTATGTAATACTTGAACGGTCTCTTATCACTAGTAAAAAAATTACTTGTTGTTGGTAACGCAGCCACGTTTGACAAGGTCTATCACTCCGACACTGAACATCTCAGAGTGAATACCCAAATCCTTGTGGTTCTTTAAGGACGACAACACCGCGTCCGGGATGCTGCCAATACCTGGAACATACAATAAATATATTTTTTACTGACTTGCTAACCCTTAAAATTTCGATTTTAACTTTTATAAATCTTAAACATCTTATGACGTTATTAAAGCTTTTAATGATAATAATAATGATTTATTTATTGCAAGAATATGGTACAAAAATGTGTAAGGTGGTACAATTGTAAGTTCGCATATTCTGCCACACACAATGGCGCGCAAATTTGTCTTAAAGAATTTTACATTTTATAGTATTAGTCAAAGTCAATTCTTATATTATTTGTATCGTACATATCATGTCATACTTTATTAAATGTATATCACAGTGTAGTTGATAACTATAAGATAGTTTCTAACGCAAATAATCATTTATTGAATAGTAATTTTTTTCCAAAAGTAATACACCAAGTCGCTTTTTAAAGACTCCAGTCGGAAGATCTTTTAATTATATTGGTAATTTATTGTAAATCTTAATTTATATATATTTTTATGTCAAAACGACATCGGTCAAGCGTTTAAAAGTACAACATAAAGATATAAGTATCTGTCATTTATTGTTTCATTTTGATAAGGCTCTGGCCATGCTGCGATTCAAACATCTGGATTAAGAGCCGCAAGCTCTTACTTCACTAGGCCAACACTACTTTCGCTTATTTTAAATTTATTGTTTTTGTCTTAATATATTTCGAAACTAATAATTAAGGCAAGTTTTAATATTTAACAGGCTCAAGTCGGCATTAACTGAAAAAACAAAAAAAATGGAGAAAGTCTTACCCATTTGCAGAGTAGCTCCATCTTCAACCAGATTATCTCCTATAAGTTGTCCAATCTTCATTTCCTCGGGACTTCCCCCTTTACCCCCATGTTCAGGTAATGGAATATGGTCCTGAACCGCATAGTCCACATGAGAAATGTGGATGATTGCGTCACCGAATGTGCGAGGCACGTGAGAGTTTATTTGGGCTGGAAATAATAATAAAAATTTAGATCAATTTTCTGGCAACATTCTTTAATAAATTAACGTATTTATAACTATGATATATTAGACGGGGAAAAAACCAGAGAGTAGAATCGTCGCTAACTACTATTTTCTGGTTAAGTATTCAATGGTACATCGCCCTTAACATATATGGACCGGCATTCATAAAAACTATTATATTATGCGTTGTGTATTAACAGTATATATAGTGTGTGTAGTGTTGGCTTCAGCATGCGACTCTCATACCTGAGGTCGTAGGTTCGATCCCCGGCTGTGCACCAATGACTTTCTTTCTACGTTGTATGTGCGCATTTAACATTTGCTAGAACGGTGAAGGAAAACATCGTAAGGAAACCTTACCTGTCTTAGACCCAAAAAGTCGACGGTGTGTGTCAGGCACTGGAGGCTGATCACCTACTTGCTTATTAGATTTAAAAATGATCATGAAACAGATTCAGAAATCTGAGGCCATAACCCAAAGAGGTTGTAGGCTGTAGCGCCACTGATTTATTTATTTTATTAACAGTATATATAAATATTTCCCTATTTCCCGAAGTTGTAGGCAGAGACCACATGGTCCTGACATACCTCTCACACTTCATCCTCTTTCATGACCATGCATGATCGTCGGTTAAGAGAACGGGTCATAAAAACTACATCGTCTTCATATATCTCTTCTGTCAAAATGTGAGTTAAAGAATGAGAGTTTTTTTTATAAACGAGGTCGATATATTTGTTATATAATAGGTTTTTAGGTTAACATAAGCCTAACAATTAAAAAAACAAACAGCACCGTAGTAAGACAAAATTACATTGGACAAAAATTGGAGCTCTTGATAACCAAGAAAGTCAAAATGCCCTTACCAATAATAATCTTGGAGTTAACTAGGGCTGCCCTGACGCAGTCCACAGAGGTTCCCAGACTGCAGTAGCCGTGCTGATCTGGGGGAGATACCTATCAAGGAAGCAAAAATTTAAAATTGTAACGAACACAATTTGTAACGAACGAAAACATTTCATTGTAAAAAAACTAGTCTAATTATTCTTATAAGGGATACAAAAAAAAAGTTTTTTGTTTTACACTGTTCTACTAAATTACTTTTTGTCTTTGGGAGTGTTCAAGTATTTCGTAACGAATTTGGGAGGGAAAGGTCTTTTTGTAGAACGTTACGATGCGGGGCGGGGATTGAAATACGCGTTAGTGTTAATATTATTTTCGACTTTCCAGTACTTTACACCACATAATGGTAACATTTACGTATATAAAGAGTCACTGGGTGGTCACGAAACGTTTTACTATACTTGGGAACAGTACTGTACTTGGGTACAGAAAAACGTTACGGCGCGTTACATGGAGGGGGGGGGGGGGTCAATAATCTCCAAAAATTGCGTGACGTAATACTTGAATGCTCCCTTTATCAGTAAAGTCATGTTTCTGGATTCTATTGAAATTTCATCAGTATAACCCACCTGAATTACGGCGATGTCAGGCTGGATGATCTTCCTGTGGAACAGCTTGGGGATGTCCTGCAGGAATATGGGGATGGCGTCAGACCGCCCTTCAGAAACTGCCTTGCGAACATTCGCCGCCATAAATAGTGATACCGATCTAAAATAACATATTTGATTAGTATATGCTATAGATTGTTTATTCCTTTACGAAGTATTTACTGACCGGGTTATTATATTTTTAATGTCGTGATGGGAAAAATATTGAGAGGTAGCCGCCGTCGTAGTTGTTATATAATCTCGGTGATTTTGTTAACTTTCATTTAGATTAATGGTACATTGGCTATAAATGCTATAAATGAATTCATATTATTAAGTTAAATATTAATTGCGATTGCGAAGATCTGCGAGTTAGTTGCGCTTTCTTGCCGTTAAAGCAGTTTGAACTTTACTTAACTTATACAATTTAGACAACAGAAGAAGAGAGAGTTGTGCTACAATTAAATCAGCCTCAAAATAGTAAAGCATTCAAATCCTCTAGGACTTTTAAGGTCCACAATATCCTAAATAATAACAGAATCTATCATTTTTAGACCATCACAACTGTCAAAGATATTTGTACAATGTCGAGATAAGTGAAATCTTATCGGATTACAAATACTGTTGATAAGTGATAAGCGAATGTCAATTACCTTATAAGATTCTTTATATGGTGGTGGTTATCAATTTACAGGTTAGATTAGTCGACTTTAAGGATACGCTCTGTTTTATAATTGTACCTACTTATTATATTTATTAAAACCTAAACATAACAATTAACAACCAGTACAATTTTCTAAAAAGAAAATTAAAACAAATTTAAAAAGCTTGGTCCCTGTGGCATGTTAACGTTAACGCTAGCAGCATTTCCTCGCTGTATTGCGATACTTATTCGTTGAGCGAGGAAAGCACCAGCTCTGGGGTCACCGGTACGAAAATAAAAAATACGAAATTTTCCACCCGTATCACCTCGACGTCCGTCGTTCCACAACTGAGCGTTTTTCAAGGCAGTTTTTGCCGCGCACCACCACTTTGTGGAACCAGCTGCCCACAGAAGTATTTCCGAACCAATTCGACTTAGGGTCCTTCAAGAAAAGAGCGTACAAATTCTTAAAAGGCCGGCAACGCACTCGCGAGCCCTCTGGCATTGAGAGTGTCCATGGGCGGCGGTATCACTTAACATCAGGTGAGCCTCCTGCCCGTTTGCCCCCTGTTCTATTAAAAAAAAAACTATCTACCAGGCGCCTACTTAAATCTTTTATTAGCGCCCGTGGACTTGAACCCCACGGCCACAAAATCGAATTTGGCGGAAATATTCATGTTTGAGCCGTTTATTATTGTTATTATATTTATTATTTGTATATTTACCCAATATTACAAAAAATAGTGATTTAGTGACTCTAATAACACGGTTGAAGCCGGAGAGCGGCTTCTTATATCTCATTTATTATTATGCTTCTTGTTTTATTTATTTTGTTTAAATTTGAATTCGTCCTTTGACAACAGGTTTGTAACGTATTAACAAATCTTGGGCTTTTTGAACACCTGAGTGATATTATACTGTATACTATATTTGTTTAATGAAGATTTGAAAAACCAAACGATTTAACGTGTCGCTTTACACTAATGGGCAAGTCAATCAAGCGACGAGGTCCATAATTTCGTTTTACAAAATAATATTTTCTTGACCAAAATAAAAAATATTATTTTATTTATTACCACTTCGTTGCAGGTAGGTATATAGAAATATAGTAGAATTAAAATTATTAAATAAAAGGAGGGCAACTGGCGGCATTGTCGCTCTCGAGCGATACTTTCAGGCCACCACTGTGATAAAAAATATATAAGGTGAGCGCAAGAAGTGCAAAACATATAGAAATATTTAGTTATTTAGACAAAATTAAACTACGAATGAGAACTAATAGTAACAAAGCAATTAAAACATGCAAACATAGTAATAAGTGATAGGGAAAATAATTAAAAACGACATATGAAAAAGATAAAGTGCACATGAATCACGATAATTTCAGATCAGTTAGTACAAAAATTAAGGAATACCACGTGGACAGGTAATCATTGTACAGTAAAAATATATACGTAAAGGAAGAAAGAGAATATTCACAAAATACATATTTAATACCCAATTTTAAGCCCGCATTTCTCTTTTGAATTATTGCTAAAATAATATAATTATAATTATAGTACGTATTACGTAACGAATAGTTTAAGATTAGTTAATATTGATTAAGATAGTAAAGATAAGTTAATGTTAATTAATAATCTTTGTAACCAATTTTGTAGTTCGAGTGAAAATTATTTTGGGTAGTTTATTATTATTACGGGCAGTCACATGAATTGGGTTAAATGTATGAACGTTAAATTCCATCATTCTGTATTTAGATTTATATTGTCATTTACCTAAAAATATCTTTGCACTCAGGCGTAACATATTTGGCGTCCATCTCTGTATGCATATGGACGACCTTGATATCTCTCAATGAAGCATCCTTGCCGACATCTGTCATGGCGTCCAGTAGTCGGTAGGGGGTGGCTGCAGCTCCTTGGGAGAACACCGTTTGACCTGGAACGAAATATGTCTCAAATTTAGTTATTATGATTTGATTCGAACTCCGATATAGTAAGTACTACTTTTAAGGCGTAACACATTAAGTAAATAAATAAATAAGTAGTACGGTATACGTATGTGTATTATGAAATCACAACTACGCAATATAGTATCAAAATATACATATGGCAAAATATAGCATTTATAAATACGATTAATTTCACTTTATTTACTGATGTAATAAAGATCCAACATTGACCTGGAGCTCTTTAGATTACACATTTTCTGCATTCCGTGAATCATTTTACAGGAAAGATTTCTAGACCTCATCCTATCTAAAATGCGCTCCCATTAAACTTATCGAGCCAGAACGAATCTTTGCAAGTAAACGTCCTTATAAAACCTTGTTAATGCTAATAAAATTAACCATGCCACGGTCGCCTCCAAAATTTATCCTCAACTTACTGTCAGAATAATAAAACAATTCTTGCGAACCTTTTTTAAATATAAATTGAATTGCTTATAAAGTACATAATTAAGTGTTTATATTATTATATATTTATGTCTGGAAGAAACTGCTTTTAGCAGTAAGACCGCCGATTTTAGTATTATTTGTGTTCATTTATTTTATATTTCTCCTGCTTTGTGTTATTGTGATTGTGTGTGTTATCTAAAGCTTCACTCAAATTTTATCGGACTACATTTTACATAGAGACTTTTGTAAAAATCATTTTGATTCGTCATTTAAATACCTCGAACCCGTATACAAAAGGTAGCGCATTACGTTAACATTTTACAAAAATTTCAAATGGTATCTGGTTGGTTGTTTTGATTCAAAATAACAAGTAAATTCGCATCGTGATTTCTATAATTAGACCAAGATTGGGCACGCATGTGGGCTCGTCTTTAACTCGCAACAATGTTGCGGTATAAAAATATATCGAAATATACAATTACGAGTATCAGTATATAAACAATTAGTGCAAGATATAGTTTTCTATTACATACTACAAATATTATTGCTTCGCTATTACAAATTTAATATTTGTATTGAGTACAATGAATAACTCGGATATGTTTATTTGATCCTATAAACAAGACTTACTCCTTAAAATTCCTTTATATGACACAAATGAATTGTTTTTTGTATAGTAATACTGTCGTTCCGCAAACTAGCGAATTTATGATACTTTTTGGAGTTGTTTCCAAAGAAATAAGACAGCCTTAATGAAAACTTAAGAGGTTTCTATCATTGTATATGTCATGGGGCAGTAAGATCAATTAACATCAACAGAGCGTTTTGACCGTACCTATGCTCGTTCTATGAAAAATAGATATGTAACTTGATATTGTTACATAAATGCGTATATACGTTTGTTTTTCCAACTGCTGCAGCAGTTAACGCTCAGCCATTTCTAAATTCCATTAAAGCATATTTATCTGTTCTATATAAACATATCCAAAATTCATACTGCTCAGGCGTTATTAGATTTTAGTAAATTTAAATATGCATTATTCGGCCTTAAAAAGGTTCATATTAGCAATAAAAGCGATAAGTTTATACTTTAAAAACAGCAAGTCACAATCTTGATAACCCATACAATTTCTGTGGTACTTGACGTTTTTTTATTCTCGCCTCTACGATAAGGGATAACATAAACAATACTATTATAAGACATGCGGGGTTATTACAAGTTTGATATACGAAAAGCATGGTATATATACGGTATATGGTTAAATTAAAAATCTCATTAGCGATTAAACGATTGTAATTATAAACTCGTACTATAAATATGGAGTATTTTCCTGTGTGCAAGAGGGCCTCCTGCCGCGAGAGTGCCTTCTTGGTGGAGAATAATGCTCACGGTAGAGAGAGAGATGGAGGTAGTTGAAGGAGTACTATACGGATATACTCTATAAGAGGTCCTTGGAAAACAAAAACTATTTTTTTTTGTAAAAAGTATTACACACACTTAAAATTTGAATGTGTATCGATTTGGAAAGATGTATGAGTGTTTTAAGGACTAAAGGAGGCTTAAAAATAGGAGGCTTTTTTCCTCGGTATTTAATGGATACTTCTGTGCAGTTTAATAAAAAAATTATATTGTCTACATAGAGACAGTAAGTATAGTGATACAATTACTAGTTAATTGTGTATTATTGTAAGCAACTTATAAATTATGCAAACATATCGATTGACTTCACTGCAACTTGCAATAAGAAACGTTTTTATATAAAAACCTATTCTTACTTAATAAAATTCATAACCATCTATTTCATCAAAAACTTAAAAAGGCATTTTGAAATTAATGCAATTGGTTTTGCGTTCATTTATTATCATACTAAAGATAATAGTTCCTATGATTAATTGTCTGTTGAGTGCTCTCAATATAGGTAATTGATATCAAAGACCGTCATAGTTATCCTCAATTTTCGTCATTTACATAAGTGGGTATTTATGTAATTTCACGCTTCCTATCTTTAGACTAGTAAAAATATTGAACCAATAAGGGTTATAATGGCGACAAATTGTTCTACCTTATTACAAAGGGGAACATGCCAAAACCAGGTTAGAGGTGAATGAACCTTTGACCCTTCATACATGGTACACAAACAGATTTGCTTTATATCCACTTACTTAATTTTGCCAACAAATAAAGACATTATATATAAAGAATTTTTACTAAGGTACTTTCGTTTTTAGTATTTATAAACATATTGTAAGTATGATATGTACACATATTGTTATCACAACAAAATGCTAATTTCCAGTGAGAGCCAAGGCTCACAAGAGCTGGTATAGTTTTAAATACTTTTAGGTTTTACCTCATACGGATAAGTGACTTTGTGTTGATGCTTTGAAGCATAAAGATATAATATAATGTACATAATAAGATGTAATTTAGAAATACATGTAAATCATTAATAAAACATTTCTGTCTTTCAGTAAGATGTTTGATGCAATGTTATATTCATGTATATACATGCATTATAATAATATGCAATGGCATTTTTTTATATTTAAAAAAACTAATTTTATTGTCTTAAATAAAATCATTTGTTAACCTAAGCAAAGATTTTTCACTAGTTTACCAAAAGTCTAAAAATATTCATAAATAATTTGTTGTAAAAAAATTGATGTTAGATTAGAACTAGATTAGAGGTAGAACTTAAGTAACATTAACTCAATAAAAGTTAATGTTACTTAAGTTCTACAAGTTGCAAGCCCTAAAGTAATATGAACTCATATTCCAAGGTTCAAATAATCAATGTATATTAACTGCCTATATACCGCTTGTAAACTATTTAAGCCCCAGTTTATCGTGATAGGGCAATCATCTATTCATGCTCACCAATAACTGTGTTCTGTTTAACACAATAGAGTGGAATAAATTACTACAAATATATTTAGTTTTAATTCAGGGAATAAAGGTTACAAAATCTCATATGAGGTGATATTTAATTAATTTTAACTAAGCATTACTGCATTTACATAATACAGTTTTGATTCTGTCTTAAGTTAAGAGGTCAACAAGTACAAAGTCCATTAATAGGAACCAGTAGGTGTTCTACTAAATCACTAAAATATTATTTCCTACTCAGCTTTTTATCCTTGGAAAATTTGGTTGAAATTCTATTAATTAAATATGCAAGGGATCTAGATACAAACAGATGACTCACGCTGATTTCTTTATGCCACACGGCAAATAATTGCTAAAATAATTTAGTAGGTAGGTATAAAATGTCTTACCAGATTTCAGACATTTTTCAAACGCCTCTTTAGCAGTCACAAACTCCGGTAATCTATCAAGAGGTTGGGATAATTCTTGAGTGTATGTAAAGTAAGTACGTTTATATTTCGCCGGTAATATTGACGCACCCAACTTTCCGAATTTATACGACACATTAGGCGCGATTATTTTTCCTATCACAGACATGTCCACTGATCTAATTCGATATTTGAATTAATCCTAACAGTTACTAATTCACTAAGTTTAATATGTTCACAATGGTGTAATAATTTAAGTTTTAATAAACGAAACGTGGGACAAATACGAAATTTTAGTAACAGCTGAGCGGTCGCCAATCCCCCAGCTATCAACAAAATTGAACGTTACATTGTATTGCGGCATGGAGGAGGACGGGGGTCGGGGAGTGGTGACCTAAGAGCGGGGGAAGGTGTCATGACCAACCAAAGATCGACGTCCCAGATTTGCACTTTATACGCGCGAAATACAAAAAAATTACATTTACATCGTTGGGTTATTTACTTTATAAACTAAATACGAGTCTAGTAAGTAGCTTAACTTATATATGTCACCGTAAAATTCTAAACACCGTTAGATTGTAATCTATCTCGCGAGATTGTGAACTGTCGAAAGATGAACCTCATCGTACTGCTTAATTTTGGATTTATGATAAAAAATCAAACGAATACAATTGTAAGCACAGCAATTTTCTACAACATATGTTCTAATAAATTTTTTGTACGATGGTTTAGGAGAACCGTGTTTTCACCCCTTTTTCCAAGATGGCGGCCGCAGGACAAGGGCGCCAAGTGCCAACCCCACAAACTTGGGTTTAAGCTTGTATTGACCCCCTCTACATGTCCCATTAATAAAATAAACAAATGTTCAGTTTGGCCCTCAAATTGTAACGTTTCAATGGACTATATAATATAAGGCGGCCAAAGACAATAACTTTTTAATATTATTGACTTAATTATGTATAATTATGTTAAAAAATGTTTTAACATAATTATACATAATTTTAAACATATTGCATTATTTTAATAATTTAATCGTCAGATAACTAATATAACTCGTATGTCGAAATGGACTGCTACGAGCAAAAAAATAGTATTTCTACGTATATTAAACAAAAATTACTGTACGTTACATACGAGTTTATATTATGTAGTTTATATTTGATATTAATTTTATTGTGTTGCAAACTATTTACCACACTAATAATATGGTGGCACAAAAGTTGTCCCGTAAATAATGCATGTAGGATTTAAGAGTGATGGGAATGTTTACGAGTTGGAAGATGGTCGCCAAGGATCGAGACCTATGATCGAGACCTATGGAGCATTTAGGAGCATAAAATAAAGGGTTGTGGCATCATGCATCAATTTTAGTAAAATTATAACATTATTATATAAGTGCAGATTTTTCAAGCAATAATTATTATTATTATTTATTTTTTTTTTTTTGAAAGACAATTCACACCAATTGACCTAGTCCCATGCTAAGCTGGTGAAGCTTGTGTTATGGGTACTAGGCAACGGATATACATACATATTATAGATAGATATACATATAAATACATATTTAAACGCCCAAGACCTAAGCACAACACCAAATGCTCATCACATCGATGTTCGTCTCAGCCGGGGATCGAACCCGGGACCCATGGATTTGCAGTCAGGGGTACTAACCACTAGACCAATGAGTCGTTATTTTTAATATAAAAAAATAAAAAAAAATGGTGCGTGTACTAATGTACTCGCGTAAGAAGTTATACTTCTTTGGCTTTCTTTATTTTTTTAAAATATTAAATAATTAATGATAAATATTTAGCGTTAATAATTTAACAATATTTAATATTTAGTATATTATTCAATTATTAATTAATATTAATAATAATAATTATTTATTATTTTATTATATTATTAATTCAATTTAATAACTAGGTATGTTTCATAACCTTTTAACTAGGTAACAATAGGTCTTTGTGAAAAAGCATTGCTAAATTTCTTTGAAAAAATAATTAAAACTCCTTTATTTGTTTAAAAGGTACTACAAATGTCATTATGGTCATTCAAAATTATTGGCATAGCTGCTAACGTCACGCATATTCTATTTCTTTTTACTTGTAGATTGTCTTATTCCCATCTCGCTCGCGCACGCTCGGCGCCCATACTGATAATTTTGTGTCACGGTGCGCGCGCATCGTAAAATTTCACTCTCATCAATTTTTCATAACGCGCCTAAAGAAGTATAACTTCAAAAATATTTAAAATTTAGATTATTATATTTTATTTATTGTATGATTTTGGTGTAGTGACCTATTTTTATTGGTAACATTGAAACTAAAAGTATCATATTGCTAATTGACTGTATCTTCGTTTAAATACCTGCACCACAAGCACCATACCGTACCTGTCCAAATCGTATCCCTAACATAATCTAGAAATTATCGTAATTCATGTGTCCTTTACATTGTCTATATTTGATTTATTCTTTGTTTAAGTTATTGGATATAACTTGTAGTTTTGCACTTTTTGCGCTTACCTTATTTTATTTCTCAATTGAATGTGTTGCATTACAAACAAGTTGTTTGTTGAAACGAGTACGGTTTTGTATTAAAACAAAGTGTCAAATAAATAAGAATGCCTCAATAAACTATTCAGCTTATATTAGCAAATAAAAATGTAGGTATAATCAATTTTACCGAAAACTAAGAATTAGTTTTAATAATTTACGATTGTTAACATTTATAAGGATAGTTTTAAGGGACGGGCGATTGAAGCTTTTTTTTAAAGTATTATTCGTGCGCGCCTCTGTCGTCGAGCCATGAGACAAAATCCTTTTTTGACAGGCGTGACCCACTAACGCCAAACAAATTTGTATGGGAATAATTACGTAAGCTCATGCTTTGATTTATTTCGTAACTTAGTTCAAGTTTTATGATTAGCTAATTTTCATAATAATTTGGCGTTTTGCGTTAGGTTTAGGCCTGTCGAAAAGTGATTTTGTAACAAGCCCTAGTTTCTATATCTATCTATCCTTTACATACAGCCTTTGTTCAGTTTTTATATCTATGGTTAGTGATTGTATATTTTTACGATAGCAATGTTTTCCTTGTGATAGATCACGTGACGGCACGTGAAATCTCATAGACAATTCGTCCATTCGTCAGTTTTCGGGTGAAGAGGCAGCGCAGTTTGGTGTTTTATTGAGCGGCCTGCCTAAAAGAAACTAAATCATGGCGAAAACCATCTCTGTGCAACAGGCTAATAAGGAGCATACCCTTGTTGTATCCAGGGACTTCATTTCCCAACCCCGTCTAAGTAAGTAATATCATTTTCTTGAGTACCTACTATATCTTGTCTGGGTGGTTGGCACAAAATCTATGTCAAAGTATTGATTTTCAGGAATCATTTAGAACTGTTTTTGAAAGTAGTAGTTTTCAGGAATGTTTTCTAGAATGCATAGATTTAAATAGGCTATATTTCTATCCATAAGCCCCAAGCTTTCGTGATGGGTCCTTTCATTATCTTTTGAGATTTCAGACCTTAAGTCTTAAGTTGTAAAAATTACATGAATATCACATAATTGTTAGATAAAAACACTAGATTCAGCTACAGTTTAAAAAAAATATACGTTAATGCAACTCGTAATCACCAGTCTTGTGATACGCCCTTTTTAACTTCTAATTAGAATATTCTTAATTTTCACTCATTCTATTCTCCCATTATTCTTTTAATAACACCTGATGATCTGGAATTAATTAGTGAGAAGAAAAATTATCTTGTGGGTTGTCATGTGATGGTCTATTGAGTAAAGTATGTAATGAGATTGTAGACATAAGAATAAAAAATCCAATGTGAAAATTCTTTAAATACTAAGTGCACCTGTTCAAAACTTTAATGTAGAGGCCTAATCAGTCAGCTGATTGGCTTTTTAATAGTATGTTTGAAATACCTTAATTTCTTTTAGTTTAAACCATCCTTACCTGTCCATCTTATAGTCTGGTTTGTGACTTCTATATAACAATAACTGACAAGCTTGCTGGTTTAAAGATTTATGTAACTAAAATAAATATTTTTATTATAGCCTACAAAACAGTCTCGGGAGTGAATGGACCATTAGTAATCCTTGATGAGGTGAAATTCCCTAAATTCTCTGAGATTGTACAGCTCAAACTTGCAGATGGCACCCTACGTTCAGGACAGGTAATTATTTTTGTGTATTTGAGCTTTTTCTTAGGGTTCTTTGTTGCTAAGTATTTGATAGCTCTATTGATTTGTAACTAAATTTGTAAAACATATTACTTAAGATATTATGTTCTTATCATTTTTTAATTAAGGTCATTCAAATTTTTCTTATTTATTAAATTAGTTTGTACATCATATATATCATACTGGGTACAAAAGGCATTTTGTCACAAAGTTTAAATAGACCCTAACTTTTTAAAGAAGCATAAGTATGTTCTCTAAATAAGTATGTTGAAAAGACCCAAACTAAAATCTTAAGACTGTAGCCTTTAATTTATATAAGATCAATACATTTATGAAATATGGAAATTAGCATTTTGGAACATGTTCATTTGTTTATAAAATCATATTTCTAGGTGTTGGAGGTCAGCGGATCAAAAGCTGTGGTCCAGGTATTTGAAGGTACATCAGGAATTGATGCCAAAAACACTCTTTGTGAATTTACTGGTGACATTCTACGTACACCAGTGTCTGAAGACATGTTGGGTGAGTTTTAAAGAAATATGTTTGAATAACAAATAAGAACTATTGGAATTTGCATGTATTTCAAATCCAAGAATAAATAAATATTTTGTATATATAATATACTTAATACAAAGTAACTAATATAATATTAACAAATAAGGTAACACAACACTTAAGTAGTTTTTAAAGACTTACCAAAATTATTATTATTAATATAATATGTGAAACAATTATTCTACACAGGTCGTGTATTTAACGGCTCTGGAAAGCCCATTGACAAGGGTCCACCAATCTTGGCAGAGGACTACCTTGACATTCAGGGACAGCCAATCAACCCCTGGTCACGTATCTACCCTGAGGAAATGATCCAGACTGGTAAACATTATTATTTAGTGTGGTATTTGATTCCAAAAATCACTATTTTTTTATTAAATACTTAATAATTAATTTATTTTATTTTAATTAAATAAGTTTTTTCTTTAACACTAATAATATGATATCTTTTTCAACAACACAAAACATGTGTGTGCAGGTATTTCTGCTATTGATGTGATGAACTCAATTGCCCGTGGTCAAAAGATCCCCATCTTCTCAGCAGCCGGTTTGCCCCACAATGAAATCGCCGCCCAGATCTGTCGTCAGGCCGGTCTTGTCAAGGTATTTACAGGTTTTTTTAAGCAAGGAGATATGCTGTGAGATTGTTCTAGTCATTGGAAATTAGCTTCCTTTATTTTCTCTTATTTTTTTTATCTGTCGAAACATTAAAAATTTAATGGTATTGCTCCTTTTTGTATGTATAATATATTTTTAAATAATTTTTGAAATGTGTTCTTATCCTTTAATTGTTCATTAATTTTATATTATTTTTAATAATTGTAGTAAAACATTCAATAATTGAATTACCCATGTTTTTTAGTAAGACTGCTTTTTGGCAGTGTTCCATATAGTTATTTGAATGGTGGTGGAATCTGATTGTCACTACTACATATTTAAATTAAAATAACATTATTATTTCTTATATATTTATAGAATATTGACATATTATTTTATATTCTGAACCCCTTTTTTTCTGAATACGGTAAATTATACCTTAAGTAACTAATAATATTTTTCAAAGCTCCCCGGTAAATCAGTGATGGATGACCACGAAGACAACTTCGCCATCGTATTCGCCGCTATGGGTGTGAACATGGAGACAGCCCGATTCTTCAAGCAGGACTTCGAAGAGAATGGCTCTATGGAGAATGTGTGTTTGTTCCTTAACCTCGCCAACGATCCTACCATTGAGAGAATTATTACCCCACGTTTGGCTCTCACGGCTGCTGAGTTCTTGGCCTACCAGTGCGAGGTAAGAAAATAAACACAAATTAAACCTATAAAAATCTTCAACAACATACTTTAATTTTGTGTGATTTGTATGAAATCATGGGCTTCCAAATCTTAATATATATAAATTACGTGTCACGTTGTTTGTCCGCTATGGACTCTTAAACTACTTAACCGATTTCAATCAAATTTGCATACCGTGTGCAGTTTGAACTAACTTAAAACATAGGATAGCTTACCTCTTAATTTATACTCACAATATTATTTTATTGCAAATTATTTGTTTATTATTTGACAGTCACAATTCTAACAATTTAATGGCATAACCACCAAAAAACATGGTGGTCCCCATGACTGGTGTTCTGCTACCGTTTCCCTTGAATAGTTTACTGCTATGTAATATAACAAAAACTTTAGCCACAGCAAAGCTTGGCCGAGTCTGCTAGTATTGTATAAGTTTAGATATTTGTGTGTTCATTTAATCTTGTTAGTGCATGAGGTCGTTCAGTACCTTCAATTGTACCTCTTAAAGTTGTATGCCCTGTGCTTACTTAAATTTCTTGATTTTTTTTCCAGATTGTCTATTTTGTTACGCGTTCTAGACGCTTTTATAAATCGCATCGCATTAACCAAAGGTTTAATGGGTCTTATACTGAAATGTTACATTATTTGCAGAAACACGTACTTGTAATTCTGACTGACATGTCTTCCTACGCTGAAGCGTTGCGTGAAGTGTCCGCCGCCCGTGAGGAAGTACCCGGACGAAGAGGTTTCCCAGGTAAGTTGTTTCACACAGATTATTAATGAAGACTCCCATAATATGTCAAAAATGTATTGGATTGGCTCTAGTTCAGATAGACATGATTGAAGAACCGATAGCGTAAGAATATATTATGTACGTGATTTCTACTGTTTTCTGATTTTGCAATAACCATTTAGATTTTATTAAATAGCATTAATGTTTTCATTTCTAGATGAATCGAGAGTAATATGTGCATTTGCTTTCAAAAACACAAATTGATGTCAAACTTTTTAGTTTTATTTTATACTAGCTACGCTTCGCTGTGACACATTGTAATTGAATGGTTGAGAAATGAGAAACAAAACAATTGTTAACATTTCATATATGTTTAATTTTGCAATACTTGTAGAAAAAAAATGATAAAAAAAAATAGATGAAAACAATCCTTGATGCGGATTATATATCATGGTAAAATTTCAGCTCGATTGGTGCAGAACTTTTTGAGTTTTTGAAGCGTACACAAACCAACATTATTTAATAATAATGTTCAAAAACTAACAAATAATATTATATATATAGATTAGACCATACTTGTGGTATCTCGAGTATTTTTTTTAGAATTTTGTATTATCTCTTCCTAGGTTACATGTACACGGATTTGGCCACAATTTACGAGCGAGCGGGACGTGTCGAAGGCCGTAACGGATCAATCACACAGATCCCAATTCTTACCATGCCTAACGACGATATTACTCACCCAATTCCTGACTTGACGGGTTATATTACTGAGGGACAGGTTAGTATTGCCTCAAGTCATGCAATGTATGTCCACGTATTGAATTACGGCTTATTTTGATCGCTTATATTATTATGTATACATGATAAAATTAAATATCAATTACAATAATTAAGATAACCCTCAATGACGTAAGATGCTCCTATCCTTTTCTCTTCATAGCGTGAAATATAAAACTTAATATATCTCCTATATATTTTAATTTTGTTTTAAAAGTGAATATGTGAATACAACTTTTATCCGTCTTCAAAGAAGTTATTAATTTGACCTGTATTGGAATTGGATAGCATTTGAGTATAATGATCTTTTTAGGTTTCCGATCACCAGCAGTTGTTTGTACTAAATTTCTACTGAGATTTTTCCCCTAAATCGGCTATATCCGACTTAGAAAACAATCCAAGTTTTAGCAAAATCGGTTTATTAGAATATGAGATATCACATCTCTCTGGACATTTATGATCTAGGTAAATAATGTTGATAGGTATTAGACGAATTCTAACTAACGAAATATTTATATTTAATTCCTTTATTCTCAGATCTACGTCGACCGTCAGTTGCACAACCGTCAGATCTACCCTCCAGTCAACGTGCTGCCATCTCTGTCCCGTCTCATGAAGTCCGCTATCGGAGAGGGCATGACCCGAAAGGACCACTCTGAAGTCTCCAACCAACTGGTCAGTATTGAAATAACGAATTAGTACAAGTCTAACCATGCATCATAAACCAGTAATTTATAAATCTAAAATTACCACGCTTCCATCTTTCTTTATATTTAGTTAATTTGGCTAAGATGAATATAGCAGTGTTGGCCTAGTGGCTTCAGCGTGCGACTCTCAACCCAGAGGTCGTAGGTTCGATCCCCGGCTGTGCACCAATGGACTTTCTGTCTATGTGCGCATTTAACATTCGCTCGAACAGTGAAGGAGAACATCGTAGGAAACCAGCTTGCCTTAGAAGTTAGATTGACAAATTATCATGAAACAGATACAGAAATCTGAGGCCCAGACCTAAAAAAGGTTGTAGTGCCACTGATTTATTTATTATTTTAAGAGGAATAATATTCAATGGTAAATGCTAAAAAATGTAAAACTCCTTAACATAATTAGGTATTAACTAATGATTTCCGTAGCTACCCAAGGTTCTCACGAAGTATAATGAAATCTTTATTTTACATGCTATAGCAGTCTGGCTCTGATGCTAAACATTCACGTCTAACGCGTAGAACAAAGTGATAATCATTGTGTGACATTTCAGTACGCGTGTTACGCCATTGGTAAAGACGTGCAGGCGATGAAGGCCGTCGTGGGAGAAGAGGCTTTGACGCCCGATGACTTGCTCTACCTCGAGTTCCTTACCAAGTTTGAGAAGAATTTCATCACGCAGGTAATACATAAAACATACAAAAACATTAACTGTATATTTTGAACCATTGTTGACATTTTAAGTAGGTTTTTGTTTAGAATTTATTTAGGGCTAAAATATATAAGATAGTAAGAATACAGAAGTCTCAATCTAGCTATTTAAGTTTGCGATTAAGCCTATGTGGTCCGATGGTCGTGAGTTCATATCCCACGGATTTTATATTTACTCTGCACTTCGCTTGCCCTATTACGACTGTTTTTCAAAAATGAAAAAACAGTACTATAACTGTTTTCTGAATTTTTGCAAAACATTTTATTATACAAAAACGCGAGCATGTCTTTTAAGTTTTGGTGTTTTAGACCCACAAATTGATGACATGTGTCAGGCGTAAAAGGAAAACAAGATGCTGTTTAAAAATGAAACGTCACATACACTTATACAGAGACATACATACAATACACGGCCTATTTTTTTATTTCTTTTTTGTACGTTTTTTTAAATGTAGGAATATATATTTTTTAGAATTTACTGTAAATAATTAAGAGCATACTCACCGGCACTTAAATAGGAGGGTCTGTACCACAGAATGCTCTGTTTAGTTAAAAGCAATAAATATTTTTTTCTATATTGCAACACTGGATTGTTATGAGAAATACTAAAATCCATAATATTTCCAGAGTAACTACGAGAACCGCACCGTGTTTGAATCCTTGGACATCGGCTGGCAACTCCTGCGTATCTTCCCCAAGGAGATGCTTAAGCGTATTCCGGCCGCCACTCTTGCGGAATTCTACCCTCGAGACTCGCGTCATTAAAACCTTTATAGCCCTGATACGACCTTCTTAGCCCTTTGCTATCATGTTTGCGGTATTTATTAATCCCCTTACAAGGTTTTATCCGCCAACGCGATGGTTATCCTGTGAGCCTTATAAACATAAAGTCAGCACAGGCTCGATAAACAGGTTGCCATGGTTTTAGTTAAACTGTTTCACGAGATTTATTAAATTATTTATTTACATATAAAAAGCTATATTTATTTGAATGTTGATTAACAACGATTGAACAGAATGTCGTATCGCGTCCTTGTAAGATATTACTTATTAGTAAGTTGTTAATAGTTAATGTATTTCATGTGTAACAATAAAATTATATCGTGTTGATATTTAAATCCATATATGTGTTGCTAGAACGTTTTAAAGACAATATATTTTTCGCTCTATTCAATTTTTATTTGCACAAAAATGGGAAAGCAAAAATGTATACCGGCAACACCGGATGCAAAGTTTTGCGTTCAATATCCAGAAACGATATGTGATATAGCTTGGAAAGGACACGTGTATATACGCAGGAACAAATGTTGCATTCCAAATTCCTTTTCACTCCGAAGCTTCTATTCTATAAAGTGAATTAGGATACTGTTGTTTGAATGGAAATAAAGTATAGAAATTCATAATTGTATTATTTCGCTCATGTGAAGGCTAACCTATGGTTATAATTTATCTACCTGATCATGACGCTTGAAAAAATCGAATAAATTAAACTTTAAAAATAAATAATAGATTCTACGAGTGCGAAGCGCCATTTCTACGTAATAACAAAAGATTCCTGACAACACTCGTATGAAAAGAGGTAAGTAAAGTGTAAACTACTTAGTAGTAGCCCTGTCGGGGTGGTGAGAAATGAGAATGCAAAACGAACGGGGAAATTTATTGTGATCACCCAAACGGAACGCGCCATCGTAACCGACTTTCAAAATTAGGGGGTTGAGGGATATTATTATTTTATTAGAAAGAGGAATAACTAAAGAGCTTTTAAAATGAAAGCTAAATTCAAAATTAAGTGCAGAATATTTTTTGCCTTACGTAAGTCATATATAGATTTAATATAATGTAAGTGATTAACTAATGCATAAATGTATTTTATTAAGACTTCGAAAATTTATAACAATAAATTCAGGCTATTGCCTTTTAAGAAAAAAAAATGTGTGCGTGTACTAGGTGTACACACGTAAGAAGTGAAACTTCTTTATGACCTTATTAGAAACTATTTCTTTAAACACAGTAAATTTTGATACACTGCCTAGCATACAATTTACAAATTAATTGCTGCAAATTTCAAGTCGAAAATGTAATCCGTTGTCAAACTTCAAAGTCAAAAACATACTATATGTCATATTTTAACGCCGATAAAGAAGTTTGACTTCGAAAATGTAATCCGTTGTCAAACTTCAAAGTCAAAAACATACTATATGTCATATTTTAACGCCGATAAAGAAGTTTGACGGGATTCCGTCGTTGCGGGTATAAGTGTTTACACGTGTTTCGGATATCATTATTTAGTATTTTCTATTTTTTCTCGTAGTTTAATGAATATAAGTTGACTTATCCTATTGGTGGTGGTTAATTAATAACATCAACTAATTACGTAAGTTATTTTTATTTAATTGTTATATTTCTCCCTTTACCTTGTTATATTTTTGGTAGTCTATAATGGAGAAACGCCCTCCAGACCCCCTGATCCTCCGGATAGGGTCTCTTCTCCGGTGGAATCAATGGATTTATCCACCCCACTGTTGCCCCAACCTGGTGTCAAGCGTAGACTTGATACTGTCAATGAATCTTTAGTGGAACCTTCCAAAAAACCAATGACCGATGTCCGGTCATCTGTTGATGACGTCAACCCAGGATTTTACTCCCATCCATCTCTCACTGGCTCTCCCAAGTCATACCTTGTCAATGACAAGGGCCCTTTTTAGTCCATGTTTCTTGCCCTGAATCTGACCCATCCGCTGGTACATCAATGCGCCCAATTAAATTTGGTCACTTCTTTGGTAAAAAATAAAATACCCAACATTGTTCGAGATGGTGTTAAGAGAGTGGGACGTAATAGAATATCTGTTGAGTTTAAGTCGGGCTTAGATGCGAATAATTTTGTGTCTAATCCCATTGTACCTTCCAGCAACTATTCTGTTACGATTCCTAACTATAATGTTTCCCGTATGGGCCTTGTGAGAGGTGTCCCAGCTGATTGGTCGATGCAGGAATTTGTCGAAACCTTGGAAATTCCCGAAGGTACAGGTATAGTCCTCAAGGCCAGACGCCTAAACCGCAAGACGAACTCCGATGGTCAAATTAATTGGATCCCAACACAAACCGTTGTTCTAACTTTTCAAGGTCAAACCCTTCCTGAGAGAATATTCTCTTGTCATAGTTCCCTCCGCGTTGAAACGTACCAACTCCCTACAATTCAGTGCCTTAACTGTTGTAGGTTTGGTCACGTAAAGTCACAATGCCGATCGAAGCCTAGGTGTTTTCGTTGTAGTCTAGCCCATTCTGGTGATGAGTGTAATATCCCTGAAACAGAGTCATTATGTTTATTTTGTACTGCCTCACACTTTGCGACCAACAAAGCTTGCCCTGAACATAATCGACAAAGAAATATAAAGAGTTGTATGTCTCAAGAGAGCATTTCTTATCTCGAAGCATCGGCTCGGTTTAGACCTATCAATGGCAAAACTTTTGCAGATTCTGTAAAAACAACCCCCTCCTCTTTATCCCAGCCCATTACTTTACCTTCCCAAGTTTCCCGTCAGACTACATCTTACAGGAAAACTGTATTTCTCCCTCCTCGCTCTAGACCAACATCAGGAAAATCCTTTGATAAGGCGGCCCATGAGGCCATTACTTCCAATTTACCCTCCTCTTTACCCAATGGTTGTGCCGTAAGCTCCCCTTCCCTTATCAACAATGAAGTCTCCCCAAATGAAAATCTTCTTGACTGCTTATGGGCAGTCATTTGTAATATGCTATCCAAGTATGATGACATCCCCATACCGTCCCACGTTGCCCAAAAAATTAATTTGCTCCACTCATTCGTCACCAAAAATGGCGAATCTGGTAATTCAGTGGAACTGTAACAGTATTCGCAGTAAAAAATCAGAATTAACCTTTCTTATCAATAAATTTGCTCCATCTATTCTAGCCATTTCGGAGACTTGGTTATTGCCGGGTTCCCGCTTTAGGGTTTCTGGGTACCGGTGTCTCCGAGATGATAGGGATGATGGCTATGCTGGCTGTGCCTTTTTGGCCAGCCGATCCCTCACCTTCCACGCATTATCTCTTCCTCATTGTGATGGTATCAATGCTGTTGCTATTAGAGCTTTTAATATCTCGTTTATTTCTGTTTATATTCCCCACCCCCATTTCGACCTCATTTCTGATATGCGTTCTATTATCCTTTCGGTTCCTCCTCCTGTTGTCATGTTGGGTGATTTCAATGCCCACCATGTTTCTTGGGGTTGTCATTCCTCAGATTCTTTTGGGTCCCTTCTACTAGATTTACTCGATGATATAAACATAAGTGTCTTGAATAATGGTTGTCCTACGAGAAGGAGTCTTCCATCTCAGAATCCCGCTAACGCAGTGGATTTATCACTTTGTTCTCCTGATCTTTTCCCTTTTCTATCCTGGCGTGTTTTTAAGAGCACTTGTGGGAGTGACCACTTCCCCATTTTAATTGATCTCCCAGTAAGGAGCGTTACTCGCCCTTCCCCTCTTTTAAAATTTAAACTAAATCAGGCCAATTGGTCAGACTTTTCATCTTCTATTGACTCTAAGATAGCTGCGCTCCCCGCAGTCTCTGCTGAAAACTGCCTATCTTCATACAATGATTTTGTCAACTCCCTCACCTCATCTGCCAGTTTACATATTCCACTCAAATCTTCTACACAAAGGAAAATTTCTCCTCCTTGGTGGGATTCCGAATGTACTGAGATGATTCGAAAAAGAAAAACGGCAGAAAGGTCATACAGTCTTTGCATGACCTTGGAAAATTTTTTAGTCTACCAACAAGCTTCTGCAGCTGCTCGCAGACTTCTAAATAATAAGAAACGTCTTGGTTGGCATAAGTTCTGTGAGAGCATGTGCCCTGGTACCCCTTCGTCTGTTGTTTGGAGGCAGATCAGAAGATTCCGTTGTTCCCTCAATTCTTATGATGTCCCATTTAATGATCCGTCTAGCTGGATTACCTCCTTTGCCGACAAATTGGCTCCTCCATCAGTCCCTTTTTATGATTGTCTTCCTTATAAGTATAATTCTTACATCCCCTCTTCAAACAGTCTAGATTGTCAATTCTCCTTGGAAGAACTTAACAAAGCATTAAATGGTCTCTCTGACTCTTCCCCTGGAGAAGATGGAATCCCTTACTCATTCCTCATAAATTCTGCATTAGGCACTAAGAGGTACTTTCTAGATTTAGTAAACTGTTTTTTCGATCTTGGAATTATTCCTGAATCGTGGAACAGACAAATCGTCATTCCGCTTCTAAAACCTGGCAAAGATCCATCAGATTTCTCTTCATACAGACCTATTGCTTTGTCTTCTACCCTTTTAAAAATCATGGAACATTTGATTAAAATTCGTTTAGAATGGTTTTGTGAAAATAACAATATCTTTGCAAAATCCCAGTTTGGTTTCAGGAAAGGCTTAAGTACGATGGATAGCCTAAGTATAATAACGACCGACATTCGCATTGCTTTTAAAAAGAAACAGTTCCTGGTGGGTGTTTTCTTGGATATCGCATCTGCGTATGACCACGTGCTGGTTCCGGTGCTCAGGCAAAAAATGCTTCAGCTGAGTATTCCTGAGAAGTTGGTACGTTTTGTTTGCAATGCAGTTTCGAATCGTTATATTATTATAAGATCTCAAAATACGGAGCTGTCTCCTAGATCTATTTGGAGGGGCTTACCTCAAGGTTCTGTTTTGAGTCCTCTTCTGTACAACATTTACACCTATGACCTGGAGCTTGTTGTGAATTCCTTCTGTCAGATTCTTCAATACGCGGACGATGTAGCCTTATACTTTTCATCAAATTCTATTGAAGAGGCATCATCACTCCTAAATTCAGCTTTGGATTATTTGGGTGATTGGTTAAATGATCATGGTCTCTCTATTTCTGTGCCCAAATGTTCGGCGGTCACGTTTACTACAAAATACAAGGTTCCACGGTGTAACATTTCATATAAAGGGTCCTTGGTATCGTGTTGTAAGCAAGTAAAATTTTTAGGCCTTATTTTAGACTCAAAGTTAAACGGTGTTCCTCATTTTAACCATGTGATTAAAAAAGTGAGAAAGGTGTTAATGTTCTCCGTTCATTATCTGGTGTGAGGTGGGGAGCACACCCTTACTCGCAAAAGCTTTTAAACAATGCTGTGGTACGAAGTCATTTTGATTATGGCACCTTCCTTTTAGATCCTGGCAACAAGCAAGCCCTTGATAAAATTTCCAAAATTCAATCGAAATCTTTACGCATCATCCTTGGTGCTATGAAATCCTCTCCCATCAATGCTCTCCAAATAGAATGTGTTGACCCCCCCCTGTATTTACGTAGACAATTTTTAAGTGACCGCTTCTTCATCAAAGTCCTTCAATACTCTTCTCATTCCATCTTGTCCAAATTACGTCGCTTATCTAATCTCACGATGCCATCTAGTACAGGTAATGTTCCATGCCTGTTACACAGTTTTAATAAACTTTCTCGTCTTCCTAATCCTGTTGAAAGTTTCCCTAGTAATCCCTTGTTTTTAAATAGTTATGAATCCCTCATTTTTAATCCTAAAATAATTTTAAACTTTGGAATTGAAAAAAAATCCACCCAAGCTTCCACTTGTTTTCTGGAAAAAATTTCAAAAGACTGGCAGGGTTGGTTACCGATGTATACTGATGCTTCCAAGATTCCCAATAATGAGTGCATCGGTGCGGCTGTATGGGTCCCTTCATTCAAAACAGTATTGAGCTTTAAACTTCCTCCATTGACCTCCGTTTTTTCAGGTGAAGCTTTTGCAATCCTAGAAACGGTTTTGTATGCTGAGTCCCACAACCTAAATAAAGTTACAATTTTTTCCGATTCTCGCAGCTGTTTACAGGCAATTCTTTCCAATCCATTCAGGTCTAAAAAAAAACATAATACGATTCTAAAAATAAGAGAAGCTTTGTTTAGGTGTAGTAAAAAAGATATTCATATTGTACTTTTGTGGATACCTAGTCATTGTGGTATAGCGGGTAATGAAACTGCTGACTCTTGTGCAAAAGGTGCTATTTTCTGCGGATTTTGTCAGCATCCCAACATCTCGGCCCACGACCTATCATATATAAGTTTTTAAACAAAAAGGTCACGTCTATAATCTGCCGTCTTCGTATAGGGCACGCTTGTACTCCCGTTCATCTAGCCAAAATTAAAATAAAAGACAGTTCTCTCTGTGAGTGTGGTATGGACGAGGGCTCGACAGACCATATATTTTTTAACTGTTCTTTAATTAATGACTCGTTATTTGACCATCTTTCTCCAGATTTCCCTCGTCCATGTAACCTTAACTCCCTACTTTCCCTCCCATCCAGCTCGATCGTCAAAATATTAGGGAAATTTATTTCTGTTAATAAATTAAAGTTATAAATAAGATTCTCCCCTTCATGCCTTGTAGTAAAATGTTAACCTCTTGTATATATTATTAGATTTCTGTGTGTGTTGTATTTATTGTGATGTCATTTTTGTTTTGGGTAACTCTGCTTAGTTAAAATTCAATGTATCAAAATTATCAAATCTATCCTCACTGTGTGAAGACTTAGAACGTGACATTGGCGGAATTGTGACTTACACAGATGTCGCCATTATAAATAAAGTGAAGTGAAGAAGTTTGACTTCAAAAAGCAACATGGCGCGTAACGGAAAAATGTGACGCGTAACGCAAAAATGTTACACTAATTTTTTTTCCAACCCCGATAAAGAAGTTTCACTTCAAAAGTGTGTGCGTGTACTAGGTGTACACACGTAAGTGAAACTTCTTTATGACCTTATTTTTCGAAAAATGATCTACTATATGCAACTTTACAGAAATTGGTTAAATAAAGTTAAATTAGATAAAGTTTAACAAAATGCTTTTATTATCATAGACATGAATAGAAATACAATTATTTCATTTTACCTTATTACTACTAAGATTATTACAGCATTTCATTAATTGTAATAGAATTATTACTATAATTGTTATCGTTATTATACATTTTGTTATTAATGGCTTCGAATCTCTTCGGATCACCGTGTAGGGACAAGAAAACGATGGCGCGTAACCGAAAAATGTGACGGTAAATTTTTTTCCAACGCCGATAAAGAAGTTTCGACTTCAAAAAGCAACATGGCGCGTAACCGTAAAACGAGACGATTTGCTACAAAATTTCTCCCATATCTCGATAAAGGAGTTTCACTTCAAAAAGAGAACAGTAAACAGATCTCTTGCTAAGACCACTGGTTTGTTTAGTAACTCTCAGTCTAAATTGTTTTTCGTTGGAAGGATAGGATGTGACTGTTTTTTTTAATACGTCTAGGTAGGGCTTAACAAAATTAAGGGTAAACCATTTAGCACGTTTGTTTTATTTTGTGTTTGTTATTTATTTTTTTACCTGAAATCGATTAACATGCACAAATGCAATATTTCTGATCAGTTTAATGAATGTTTCGTTTTCTATTTACTAATTAGTAAGAACAGTACTTCTAAGTTTATTTGTTAATTGAATGTACGTCTATCCTAGAAAGCGATTTAGATCCTAAAATTTTCCAATTTCATTTCATAAGCATTTCAGGAGATAGGTAGGAAATTAGGTTGTTTTAAGGCAAGATAGATAAATGAAAAAACAAGTGGGTAGTTTAATTTATTTATGATTAAGTATTACAATGTTGCTCGTGTAAATTAAATGCTGTAATTTATAAGTGGATCTCAATGCTGGAATGAAGTTACCACTGTTCCAATATTGGAATAAATACTAGATGATTTTTAATTAACCGGCAATACCAATAATGGCTTCCGAGGCGAAATATTTCACATCAACATCGGGATCTACGTTCAACTTCTCCAAAACAGGTTTAACTTGTGGCTGAATGACAGCTACATCTAAATACGGCGCCATCTTTTGTAGAGTCTTCGCGACATTGAACCTCACGTTGGCAACACTATCGTCGGCCGTAGACAATATGGCGGGAAGAAGAACTCTAGTAGTTATGTCCTTGCCACAAACTTCGGCTAAAACATTGATGCAAAATAGATAGGTCATTCTGTGCAAGTAGTTTTGTTCTCGTGACATGGCTAGGACTTTGGGTATGACGTTTGTCTCTGCCCACGATGGACCATACTGTTCAACTAGCTTCTTTAAGTTTAGAGTTGCTGCTTCACGGATGGCATAAACGTGGTCAAAGAGCCAAGACATGCACAGACCAGTGAGTTTCTCGTCAAAGAATTCTTGTCCCAGCTGTCCAGCAAGTAAGGGCATGTGTTCAATGATAGCGAGGCGGACTCTCCATTTTGTGTCTTCAGCCAACTCCATGATAGCTGGTAAGAGGGATTGAACTAATTGCTGTATTCCAATCACTTCATTGACACATTCAAGGTTAGATATGATGTTTAATCTAACTTCTGGGCACTCATCTTTAAGTTGTATCAGAAATAGGGGTAATAGGTGTTCAATGGTGTTTTGACGTCCCACTATTGGACTGAGTCCCATGATCACAGAGGCCAGGGCAGACTTGACATGTTGGTTAGGGTCACAGACCAGGTCCTTGATTTGTGGCAGGATCATATTCATGATAATGTGCTCTTGGTGGGCTTTGTCCAAATTCATGCAGAAATCCTTTACCTAGAATAGAAATCATATTGCTTTATGTATCAGGTGGTAACAATGGGTGCCAAGCAGCAAAGGTCATGTAAAATAGAAATATGTATCTACTTCAGTTTCAGGTTTGTAATATTTTAGTAACCCAACTTTAAAATAAAAAGGAGTTGTAGTTACCTTTCCAGCGGCAGCAGCGCGAACTTCAGCTTCAGAGTCTTTAAGCAAAGCCTGGAAAATTTGCGCCAGGTCGGATCGGGCAAGTTCTGGGCCTACTGCTTGCTGCAGCTCTACAAATCTACGAAGAGGAAATAACATCAGTTATATATACCATTACCAGTGTAAGCAAAGGTTTAAATGAAACCAAGGTAAACTGTGCTTATCACAATTTACCTATGATTTAAGTTAAATTTTAACTACTTATTTTAAAGTTTAATTAAAATGTTTTTAAATTCTAACTTATTCATAATTTATTATTGCCCCATGCCTACCTACAAATCTTATTGTATGTAATTGAATAATTTTCGATGCATTAAATTCACTTGCCAAGATAAGTGCATTGACTAGGTCAGCTAGTTATATTTAAATTCTATTGTATGTATTTCTCACTTGTCAGCTAGCATGTATCGCACACGCCACGACGAATCTCCAGCGCGAGCACGTACAGTTGGCATCACAAGTTGTTCACAGTCTTCAGCTGGAAGCAAGCCTGCTACTGCTGCACAGGCTTCTGCAGCTAGAATACGGACTGAGTCCTGATCATCCTGCAATGTGGAATAAAATAAAAATTATAAGTAACTTGTACAATGATGTTACCACTAAAGTATTAATAACCTTACAGAACATATTTAAGATATCACACTCTAAAAATAGACAGTCAAATGTTAATTATCCTTTTCTGTAACATACCACAACAGAATAATCAGTTCAAAATTCAAAATTTTTATTATTTTAATTTAATAAGATATTGTTATGTTAAATTTGAAGAATTATATGTATTCAATATAAAAAATACTGAATCTGTAAACTAACCTGTGCCAATGTTACAAACATGGGTATGAGATCACTCTTAACATACTCCACTTCGACAACTCGCGCAAACTCTCCAAGTTTGTATGCAGCTGCTCTCCTCACCATTGGTGTATCATCTTGACACAGTGTGCGAAAATGTTCCCTCAATTCAGCCTTTACTGGCGCTGACACACGTGGGTAGCACACACTGGAATTATAAAAAATATGTATTTTTAAAATCAAGCCTATACCAACACTTTTCCAAAAATTCCATGATAATTTACATCAAGAGATATAGAAGATTTTCAAGATGGCAGGTTTAACGCAGCTATCGAACTGCACTCTTATGGTGCGTTACCAGTGATAAACCGCGATTATGACCCATTTAAGTGGTAGAACTGCAATAGTTTTGTTTATAGTAAGTCTATATTCCTGAATTCTTAGATTTCAGGAATATTTACGAAAGAAAAACAAAAAAACTCCTTTCACACCACAATTTATCTTTACCAATTATAAGTTATCTTAGAGACAAAGAATTAGAAAGTTTAATAAAAATGTGGTTGGACTCTATAAGCCAGATAGTCAGCTTTACCAATTAGTTAGAATATCACTAGCAGTGAAAAGAGGAGTATTGGCCTGGTGACTTTAGTATGCAACTATCAACCCTGAATTTGAATTTATTGTATATATATTCCAATCAACGCTGGATACCAATGGATTTATTTTTTTATGTGTATAATAAGACTTGCTCCTATGGTGGAAGCAAGTTTCCTCAATGTTTAATGTTAAGGCAAAATCATTAATTAAAAACATGTGTCAGGCAAAGAAGACTGAAATCAATCACAATCAATCTGTGAAAATAATAAAGAAACGGATGCATTGTGTGGCAAAGTCCCATATAGGTTTATTATTATTAGTTACGTGGTGAAAACCCACTCCTTGATTACTATGTTGTTACAATTATTATTTGGCAGAACTGAAGTCCTCAAGGTTCTTGGTAATAAGCAATTAAGCCTAATAATTTTGTTTAGTGTACTTTAGTTTATTTGTACTCTACAAATGAAACATGTCAGCAAAACTTAATTTAAAATGTCTACCTATGATAAAGTTAATTTTAATAGTATGTCTCCAATCATTACATGTCAGAATGGACCTAGGTTTTCAAGTCTCTAATTAGAATATCACCTTTGAGTTTATGTGGTCCCAATCATTCTTAGTCCTACCTTTTACGAATCAGGGCGCTTTGTAATGAAATTCCCAAACATGCAGATTTCAGTAGTTAAGTCCCTTAGTAGGACAGTGGGTCAGGCTTGTTATATACTTTGATATTTTTCTATCATAATACAAATTAAGATAAAATATATATACACATATATTAATGTTTTTATTATTAATAATCTAAAGCTTATATAAACTGAAGAAAATTTTTACAAAAACCCAATGTATAATAGAAAATTGAATAAACAAGCATTGTTTCACTTCATAAAATTTTCATGTATTTATAATTCTAATTTGATTTAATATATATTTCTACCTGAATAGTCCACAAGCAGATGCCCTTGATGTGAACCAATCTCCACCAGCCAACCTCTGCACCAGAGGAACAAAATGTTGCTCCAAGGCCTGTGGGGAGTGGTGAGCAGCAACAGCCCGGAGTGAAGCAACTGCCTTGTCACGGACAACTGTCTCCTCTACAGTGGCAAGAGATTCCAGTGGAGGCAATAGGCAGTGGGCAAACTCACCACCACCAACCAGACTGATAAAACTTCCTATAAGAATGTACATTATGTTTTATTAGAATAATTTTTAATATACCTCATACTTTTTGAAACTATTAATATTTGCCACTTGGTTGCTGGGTGTGTACAGCAACAATCATATTTATTTATTTATAATTTTTGTATTCAATAAAATACAAAAAGTCATTTACTTGGCATATAATGTATTTTTAATATATGAAGTCAACAATGAACAAACCAAAATATTACATTACAGTACGAAAGATAAAACTAAACAACGCTTAATAGTAATTTAAAGCCTAGATGACCTTACGTGATAATTTTTTTTGCGAAATTGCATATAAATATTCGGAACTAGCCTTCACAAAGGAATTAGGTTTAAAACTATAAGAATACTTACCAAGTTGTTCTGCAAGTGCCAAGAGTACTTCGTCTTCATCATAAATTGTTTCAGTGAGGAAGGGGATGAGTTCAGATCTGGTTCTTTCAACCCCAAGGGCGAGGGCAATTGTCGACAGTTTCTTTATCGAATTTAAACGTAATTGTACATCCTCGTTTTTGAGTTCGTCAATGAGTACCGCAATTGGATAAAGTGACTCATCTGTTCCCGAGTCACTGGCTGCCATTTTTCACTGCAACTGCGTTTAGTAGAGTTTATTTATGATTCTTCTTCGATTCAAACGAATCTTTTTTTATATGTAATCGTTAGTTTTACGAAATTCCTACGCCTTCAGCATAAAATGGAAGCCTGTTTTTGTCTATAGATTAATGAAAGCAGACAACGAAAGTTTTATACAGTGTTACCAGCTCTAATCAAATATTTCACACACATCTCAATTAAAATTAATATGTATATTCTAATTCTAATCCACTTAATATAAATAAGACATTACTTCATCTTCATTTTGTTGTCGTGTTTATAATAAATAACTTGTTTGTGATTGGCTTTTTGTATCCTATTAAATCTGACGTTAATTTTATCTAATAATACCATTTCAAACTTAGCTACAAATATATTTTGTGGTGGTTATGTTTGTGAGATACTAGTCATTAAAGTTCAAAATACCCCAAATAACTCATTCTCAACTCAACTCATCTTATTTCCCTTAACTTCAGGGCCAGCAATCCTAAGTTGGTAACTCTAACAAACAGATAGTATTAAATTTATAGATTATATTATATTTAACACATAGATTACAAAAACTAACAAATAATACAGACGTTTCGTTTCCATAGATACAAAATTACACAACAGCTGATATTAACAATATTTTATAATACTGTCCAAGATATAATGACGGTTCTGTTTAAACTTCAAAATGTCATTTCAAATTGGGTTTTGATCTGTTGATCTCATATTTAACTTTTATCAAAAATATTTTGCTAAATATGCAATAGCTTTGTACATTTTTATATGCTGATGTAACCTTTTACGATGAGCGATAATGACGATATTAATGCGTCTATTGCACATGTTGTGCTGTGCTGTGTTGCCGGACAAGGTCTTGGCCGTATGCACTCCAAGTCTTTCACGCACCCCGGAATGCATGCCAACTTCTTCATACATGGCATACTCGGATTTATGCACTATCAGAGTTAGTGGGATTTTTGTTTCATTTTGTTTATCTTTCGACGTTTACGGCTCGTTCCATCAGTATCACCTCAACGTCTTGCACTATTTGCCCCTTACACTTATTGGTTTCAACATAAGAGCGTACCACATCATAAAAGCCGGTAACGTCCTGGGGTTGTAGGTGTTCAATGGCGGCCGCGGCAGTTAGCCTGCTCGTTTGCACAATGCACATCCATGCAAAGGCCGCTTTAAATTAGTAAAAAAAGATAAAGGAAGATACTTTTTTAATTTTTCTTCCAGGTGGAAGATTCAATAAGGATATTAAGTCAGCCTATGCGATCAGTTACGCCGCTTCAAGATATCTAGCGCTTCCGTGCCTGAACGCCGATTTGTATCGTGGTGATGCGGCATTAAGTACGCTTCACCTTGCCTCCGGCTTGATCCCCTTTGCATTGGCTTTAGGAGGAAAAGATGATCAGAACCTAGGAAACTTATTAATCGCCTGCAATATTGTATCATTGTGCGTGTATTCCCATAAAAATGAGAGACAATATGGCTGGTACACAGCAGGCGCGGGAGTTTTGGCATATTTCATCACGACGACCGTGGCAAAGAAAATTACTTATCCACTATGTTTGGCCCTGATGGACTATTGTGCATACAGAGTATTTCATATTCATTTTACGGCTGCATAAATAAAAACTTTCCTCGTATATCGTCTCCTTAAATTAAAATGTCCTTATTGAATTACTGTAATCGCCGAAAATCTTGTTTCATATCAGAAATAAAAATCCCTGATTTTAACAAATTTAAGTTGTAAATTGTCCATATTATTTTGCCTGTCCATTCAAATCAAATCAAAATGGAGCCTAATAATAATAAAATTTAATTAAAAGAGAGCACCTGGACACAGAAAAAGTTGCTACATCATTTTGAGATTATTTTGAAATTAGAATTGAGACAAACAAACAATTACAAGACAGATAGATAAGTTATAAAAAAATACGACCCCAAGTAACCTGTAAAGAAGTAACAAACCGTGCTATCATCACCCAACCGTTCTGTAGATAATGCACACAGCGGGCTTACTCTACGCATGATACCAATTACGCACAACGCATTTATTCATTTCCTCTAATATTATAAAGAAACCATTTGCTTTTAAAGGCCAAATACCTTTCCATATTTTAGAATTCGGATAAACATATTATGGTTTACTACACATGACTGAAGTTATAGTTATTTTAAATGCAAACAAGTACCATGAGATCCAAATCTATCAATGGTGCAAGCATGGCGTAGTCTTGCTCTTTCGCGAATTTTGTAATTTGCGTTTTTGACATTCATAAGCATGCCCTAAGACGCATCTAAATTGAATAAACGTATTTTGATTTTTTTTTTATCATAATGGACTTCATAATATAACATATTTTATATAAAAGAGAAAATCTTAAGGAAAAATAATAAGCGGAAAATCTGAAAATGCGTATATATAATAGGAAATAAGTTTTCCAGCGAGTGAGCATCGGGTTCAGACCGCGAAAATTAATTTTCCGATATTGTGAGCAACAAATACGAGTGTCGGTTACTCGTAATGGCCGCCGGAAAACGGCATCTGTTGTAACTGATACCACTTGCTTGTTAATTGTCAACGATTTATTGAAAATTGCGGTTGCTTTATAGTCCAACAAGATGTATTTCATAGAAAATTGTCGGTAATGAACAGTCAAAGCCAAAATACGTAAATTTATTTGGTTAACTTTTGTACTGTTATGAACGTCAAAGAATTATGAATGATTCTAAACTTACATCTACTGCAAGTTCTTAAATCAAGATCGTAAAACTGACAATAAACACTTTAATAATTATTAATGATAGTATCATTTATAATAATTTTCTTCATATGTTTTGATTATCTCGGATTGTAGCGGTTGCAAATAGAACGTAGTAAACGATATCTTATAGAGACGTGTAAAATATAGGCATCCTCATAACTCAGAAGTATTATCATATAATCACCATATACCTCGCGTAATAACTCTCAGACACTCCAAGCTATTACACATGACAGTGCCAGCTGAAATAATTCATTCCCAAACAGAGGTATTACATTTTAATGACATGCTCGGTGTTCCTAATAGCTGAAACCAGGCGCAGACGTGTAAACAAAACTCTTAAATTTATGCTTAATAGGTGTTTCAGATTTGGGGTAATGTCTGGTTATTTACGTACGTATGAAGGGCGGTTTATATGTATGTTTTTAGAAACAAGAAAGCGGTTAACAGCCTTGCGATTCTGTAACTCACTCTTCAAATTCTCACAGCGGATTCCGCTCTCACTCGTGACGGTGTAATAATATGACACCTATGAGAGTGGAATCCGCTGTGAGAATTTGAAGAGTGAGTTACAGAATAGCAAGGCAGAATGTAAAAAACTTTTGACATAAAAAATCCCCTTAGTTATATGGTAATTTGTTTGTTTTTAACGTGTCATCACACGTGCATTTATAAGAAAAAAGTTCTCTAAAAAGTTAATTAGAGTGACAAATGCACAAAATCATTAATGACTTCATTTTCCTACAAGGAGTAAGTAGTAAAGTACATACCCGAATCTAGTAATGACGCGCCGAGACCAAAACAAGTACAAATTATTTTATTAATTATTTAATAACATTTTGATGCAATTGTTGCTTTGCTTTGTGAGAAATAAGTTACCAATCATTTATTAAATCATTTTCCAAGTTATAAAACAAATCTCTTTGACCGGTCACTTGTCAGACTAATATAAAAGTAATCCGAATTCGTAGACTAAAATTGATTTCAAATCTATCCTCAGTTTCTAATGATTAGTGATAATGCTCCAGGACTAATTGAAATGACTTGTGATTGTATTTTGAGTCTTATTAACGTGTAAATAAGTCTAAATTCGTATATAAGTGTTAGATGTAAATCTTGCGTTGATATATTTGTTCAAGCGAAATGTTTGGGTCTATTCGCCATGGTCCACCTAAAGCTATAATATGGGATTATCAATTATTTAGCTTATTTTATTAAATATTTTATAGACAAATAGCTAACCGGCTTCCTCACGATGTTTACCTTCACCGTAGGTGTTTACTTGCACATATAAAGAAAATTCCATTGGTGCATAGCTAGGTGATTCGAACGCTCCTCAGAATTAAGGGTCGCACGCTTAAATCACTAGGCCAACTATAATACAGGACCTAATGAAATATTATAACATATGTTGTTATAACTGTCTTTATTAACTAAGTGAAATTTATTGACGAGTTTTGAAGAAAAACTATGGTGATGAAACTGTGTAAGATATAGTGCTGCTAACCAATCTTATCTAAGTTAAATGAGATTTAGGTTTAAAGATTTTATTTCTCAAAAAGACAAAAAAAATCACTTACATGAGAATAATACTTTAGATTAACATAACATTGTAGTCGTTCTTAAAATAAACACAATAAAAGATAGCCGTACCTGCAATAAACTTAAAAGTAACCAAAGAAATATGAATTAAAAGTAATTATAAGATATAAATTTAAAAGTAATTTTGTCTAACATATTCACTTAGCTTCGATTTGAATGAATTGATAGAATATTTTTTTTATATTTGTGGGTAGTTTAGATTAGATTTGCCTTTCTTTTCCCCCCGAAACATTCGAAACGTCTAATTCATTTCTTTATTCGTTTCGGACTTAAAGTTGTAAAAATGAAAACATTTGAAGTGTTAAAAAAAAAGATATTTCATATTATGACATATCGAGCATTGGAAGCAAATCCTAATTGTAGAATTGCTAGACTTGGCTAGAACAATGAGAAACACTGATCGTTGTATGTTGTATATAAGATAATTCATTTGTTAAATAATTGACCTATACTTAGGTATATAAAATTACAGTAACACATGGAAAAAAATGCAGTGGCCAAGCTTATTGGTAGCTCCTAGAATATTCTAGTCACAAATGACAATTACAGTCACGAATGGCCATGACAGTTACATACGGCCATGTCAGTGACCCGCAATCACCCTAAGATTTTAATTTGGGGGCCTCATAGCCTAGCGGTCTTATTAAGTGGCAGCTAGGTGAGGGGTTCGATTGCCGGTTCGAGGGCAAGTTTTAATTTAATTTAAATTTGTTCTCGGCCTTTGGGAGGGTAGTGCGGTACCGGGCGAGTGCTTAAACCGTACATGGAGGACACGGTCGAATTTCTAGACTAGCACGAATTATAAAAAAAATCCTATACTTGACGCTGGCTAATGCACAAATCGTGCCAGAGCCATTAAAAAAAAAAAGAAAAAAAAAAGATTTTAATAATATCTATCTCAATGCTGAAACTGAACTGAACATCAGTGTTGTTTAAAAACAAGTTATTTTTCTGTTATTAATTCGTCATTATGCTAATACCCCAGACTAATGATTAAAACATCAATTAAAGAGTAATTTTCTGCATATTACAATATTTCGTCTGCGACTCTATTCGCTACGAAACCCTTTTTACGAAATTTTTATCCGTATTTATTAAAAGCTATAATGTGACACTATAATATATGTTTAAACTCAATTTTAAGAAGACCGGAAGTATACGCTTAAATTATTTGATAGAATTTGTGCTTACAAATATTTCTCCCTAATTGTAATTCTGGTTGGAATGATAAATTTGGCAACACTGTAATAGGCTGTCACGCTAACAAATGATCGAGTTTTATACGAACCCTTTTACCACATTTAACAACAGTTTACGGTACATGGATTCCCTTTTGCAAGGTTTTATTTCTACTTATTTTTAACTTTCTCCGTCGCTTAGTTGAGTAACCACTACGGCTATTTTAAGTGTTTAGTCTGAAGGACTTAAGATAGTTTTTTTGGAATGGACATATAAATTAATCTAATATAATTTTGAAATTGTATGTTTATGGCACTGGAGCTCTGTTTGTTTTATAGATATTTTCCATCAAACCCAGGATCTCAGGGGTATGAAGGGTCTCGTGTTAGGTACTAATTGAACCATGGAGGCGGCAATTAACAGATAAATTTCTGTTCTAGAAAAGACGAGAAAATGCTAAATATCTCTTAAATAGTAAAAAATCAATAAATATTACTGAAGGAGTCGGTGAACAACAATATCTCTTCTATCTTACATAGAATATCCAAGATTATCTAAGAGTAAGTGAAGCCTTGGAATGTAACATATTTCTCGTACATCCATTGTCCATGGAGGCATTATTGAATCACATCTAAATTCAATTTGTTAGCGACGCTCAAACTATGCCTATCGCCAAGACGTAATGGGCCATTCACCACAGTCTGTAATCGGTCATTCACCCCACATGTAGGCTGCAAATTCGTGCGGAATTAATTGTTCTGACCCCATTGTGGTGTATGGTTTAGTGTACATTATATTGCTTAAATTCTAGACCGACAGTTGATGTAGGAAAGGTACTTTACATTATCCCATCATCTCGAGAATTCTTCTCGTAATTAGATAAAATGGTAAAAAAATATGTGAAAAACTTTAATTATAAAGTCTCCCATTGTTTGTATTGGGGCATAAACTGTTAAGAGAAGACTTAGTATGATTCATGATTCTCGTATGTCAAAAACGGAATACGCGACACTCTTGCGGGTAACAAGGAAAATATACTAACTTATCTGATATTTTTATTGCTAACCAGCGTACACGTA